TTTGTTACCTCAGATGTTTGATATGACTCTTGAATGCGTGAAGGATAGATTAAAAAATGTGGAAGCTGTGTGTTTGACCACAGATGGGTGGACTTCCAGGACCAACCAAAGTTTTATATCCGTAACAGCACATTTTATTGACCCTAAAAACGATACAGTTGTTTCATCTGTATTATTAGGCTGTATCGAGTTTAATGAAAAACATACAAGTGAAAATTTGTCTCGTTTTTTAAGGAACCTAGTTGAGGAATGGAATTTATTATATAAACTTACTGCTGTAGTAACTGATAATGCTGCTAATATTAAATCAGCAATTAGAAACTGTAACTGGAGATGGCTATCTTGCTTTGCACATTCTATAAATTTAATTGTCCAATCTAGCTTGAAATGTATAGATTCTACTCTGTCAAAGGTAAAAAACAAAGTACAGTATTTTAAAAAAAGTTCGCACGCCCTGGCAAAATTAAATGACTATCAAAAACAACTTGGTTCACCTATTTTAAAACTTAAACAGGATTGCCCAACTCGATGGAATTCGACATACGACATGATCAATAGAATAATTGCAATTAAAGATCCGATTATTGCCACTCTTGCAGTTTTAGGTAATTCAGAGTTGAACTGTCTAAGCCCACAAGACTGGGTTATATTGGAAAATGCCCGGGACATTTTGAAAATCTTTTATGAAGTGACTGTCGAAATAAGTGCCGAAAAATATGTAACTATATCAAAAGAAATCATTTTTATTAAAACATTAAATAAGTTTGTTTTTAATTTTAATAATAACAATACATTACCAAAAGAAATTAATTCCATGTGTCAGGTTTTGAAGGATGAGTTGTATGCAAGATTTGGTAAATATGAAGAGAACCCGTTAATTAGTCAAGCAACATTATTGGATCCGAGGTTCAAGAAATTTGCATTCTCTAATGAAAATCATTGTAAGAATGCAGTTAATTTTTTAAAGGCTAAAGCACAAAGTATTATATTAGAATCAGACGAACCAATACATCAACAAGTTGCTACATCTACCTCTACTAGTAATTCAAGTTCAATGCTGTGGAAAGAGTTTGATGAAACTGTTGTAAATTTGATTGGAGGATCCAACTCGTCAGTGGCAGGTATAATTGAAGTTGAAAAGTATTTGAATGAACCATTGATCAACCGTTCAGAAAATCCTTTGGTTTGTTGGGCTGAGCGAAAAAATGTGTACCCACGATTATACAGATTAACTAAAAGGAGACTGTGTATTATGGCAACATCAGTACCATGTGAGAGAATATTTTCAAAAGCAGGACAAGTTGTAAATGAAAGAAGATATAAGAATATTATTTCTTAACCACAACATGTTGTGATTTATATAATTATATTTATTGTATACTAATAGTTATTAGTTGATAGTTATATTATTTAATACTTATTATTATTATTTTATTATTTTCATTAATACAATGTAAAGAGGAGCAAAACAAAAATGTGTAAATATTAAATAATAAATATATCATTATTTATTATAACCTTGTTATCAAAAACAAAAACTCGCGTCTCGTTCAGTCTCGTTCAATCAACGGTTCACACGGTTCGCGTGAGTATATGATTCGGGAATCGGGGAGATAGTGACAGTGTGAACCAAGAACCAATACGAAAAAAAAAATCAGGTGATCCGGATCACCTCGGTTCGGCGATCTGGATCATATCGTTCACTACTTTGACCCGTTCAATAAGATCCGTTCGTTCGCGAACGACACATCTCTAATATTCGGTCGGCGGTTGGACTATACGTACTAGCTGTCACGAATGTAGGAATTCTAAGAGCTGTGTTCAAGATATAAATGTGTAATAACAAATATTCAACACTTTAAGTTACATTCGGTTGGTGGAGAGACTATACGTACTCCTGTTACGAATGTAAGGATTTTGAGAATATATGGTGACGGTCACAGGTAGAAATTGTATACGAAATCCTACAGATCACATAAAAGAATATACATGTATTGTCATCGTGATACCGACTGTCGAACACGACCCCGAAGAACTACAAACCACTTAAAAGAAAACCACCTGCAGTGAGGTAAGTGTTTGAATGTTTATATAATAAAAGTAGGTAATTCAAATATCATTAGACATTTAGGTACAACACAGTAGTAGGGAGATTATACGCGGAAATCTCCAATATTTATTATAACATACATATCTCTCCCCTATAACCACTACCTTGCCACTACCACCTATTCTCCCCTTACTACTAATATGTTCCCAGCTTATTTTCTCCTTACTACAACAGTAATAAATTTTTAGTTGATTTTTATGAAGAAATGTCATATTTAATTATAAATGGCATAGTCTTCGAAACAATAGATAAAAGACGTATTGTCAAACAAGTAGTTTTAGATACTATCGTATGCGACGCGCCGGCCAAATCGTATATATTTAAGATTAAAGGTCATTCAGGGTTTTTTTCCTGTACCAGGTGTGAAACACAAGGTATTTATAAATGTAATAGACTTTGTTCCCTGCTATTGACGAAGATAAGCGTACCCACGAATCTTTTATTAGTAAAATGCAAGAAAAACATCATTTAGCCAACACTGAAATGTCAATTTTGATAAATTTACCAAATATTAATATAATTAATGTGTTTTGTCTGGATTATATGCATCTCTGTTGCTTAGGCGTTTTAAAATTATGGCTGTTCCCAAAGTCTAAGGGCTAAAAAAAATGTTCGAATAACTTCAACGAAATTGAACGAAATAAATTCAAACATTCTAAATTTAAAATCTTGTATTACCTCTGATTTCCCAAGGAAACCTAGGAGTTTAGACGAGGTGTCTAATTTTAAGGCAACCGAGTTTCGTTAATTTGTTTTATATGTTGGGACTATTGTGTTGAAAAACAATATTAACGATAAATGTTATTGTTGAAATACACAGATATACAGAAGTTAAAGGTAAATAATAATAAAATCGGATATATGTAATATAATAATAAGTATAATGATACGATGTACAATAGCTTATACACTACATTATATAGGGTGTTTTGTTTATAATTCCAACACTTTCTCTTGAACAATATACCCTTATACATCAATACTTATAACTCCTAACATCTCCCTTAGCTCATTGAACCGCGTTCGTGGAGTTGGCTTTGTCATAATGTCCGCAAAACTGGATTTGCTTCAGTCATATTGAACTTCTCCAATATTTTTTTACAATACAACCCTCTGTGCATTACAATTGATCCATCAGATTTTTGCACAATTTCTGTACCTAAAAATTGATTCAATTCTCCTTCGGTAATATTGAAATGTTGTCTCAAATATTCCATTAATTTATTTACATCCTCACTCGATGTAGCTGCAACTAGACCATCATCAACAAATGTAGCGACGATTAATACTTTGTTATTTTCTCTATTAACAAAAACACAGGGATCTGCTTTTGTTTCTAATAGATTAAAGTTAAGAAGAAATGTTTTAAACTTTATGTTCCAATATCGTGGTGACTGCTTTAGACCTTATAAACTGCGTTGAAGTCTGCACACCATTTCAGTACCATCGTTGAACCCTTCTGGTTGTCTCATATAAATTTCTTCGTCCAAATCTCCATATAAAAACGCTGTTTGAACGTCAAATTGTCGAAGTTGTAATTGTTCTGCTGCTGATATAGCTAATATAGACCGAATTGAATCGAACTTTACTACAGGACTAAAAGTTTCATTAAAATCAATACCGAATATTTGACTATACCCTTTTGCTACTAGCCTAGCCTTGTATCGATCAACATGTCCATGAACATTGTATTTTGTTTTATACACCCAACCACAATTTACAATAGTTCTGTCCTTAGGTAACTTTACGAGAGACCATGTTCCGTTTTGTTCAAGAGATTCCATTGCATTGTTCATGGCTTCCACCCATTTTTTTGAATTTTGTGACTCCACAGCTTCCTTGAAATTCGCTGGATAGGATTCGACTACGAAAAATGCTGAATTATCATAACGTAATGGTTTCTTAATATTACTTCTGTCTCTCAAGTTGTACACGTTGACATTTGACCCATTTCCTTGTTCATGTTCTTGATTTTCATTGTCATCTACACTTATTGGTCCATATTCATTTTCTATGACTTCATCTCGTTCTGGTTTATTGCTGTGTTCTAATGAGCCGTCTTTGTGTAAGCTAAGAACATCAATGTTATTACTATCATTTAAGTTATTAGAACCTTCTACACCTTGGTAATTTACAACATTTTCATCCTTGAAAATTACGTCTCTACTAAGTGACACTTCGTTATTTTCTTTATACCAAATACGATACCCTTTTGAAGTTTCTGAATATCCAACAAAGTATCCTTTTCGACTTTTTGCATCCCACTTCCTTCGTCGTTGTTTTGGAACTAAACTATATGCATTTATTCCAAATTCTACGAACTTTTCTATTTTAGGAAGTTTATCAAACCATAACTCGTATGGAGTTTTACATACTTTCCCTGAATTACCAGTATAATTTAATGAGAACACTACTGTATTGACTGCTTCTGTGATTTTGGAAAATTCTTGGCATATATCATTGTTCTGGCTGCCTCACAAATAGTCCTCATTGAACGTTCAGCTTTTCCATTTTGTTCAGGAGTATAAGGTACATTTGTTTCATGCTTTATACCCAGATGATTTAGAATTGATTGAACTTCGAAATTCTTATACTCTAATCCACAGTCACTTCTAATAGTTTTAATAACGTATTTTGTTTGAGTTTTAACCATACTCAGAAAACAATTAAGTTTTTCTTTAATCTCAGATTTATGTTTCATAAAATAGACATAAGTATATTTAGAATAATCATCTTTAAATATAATGAAATATCTTTTCCCTCCTAGTGAATTCTCTTCCATGGGTCCACATACGTCGCTGTGTATTATTTGCCCTGGTTCAGTAGTTATTGTTTCGCTCTGAGTGAACGTCTCCTTATGCTGTTTGCCATAGATGCATGGTTCACAGAATTACTGTCCTTGTATATCTGTAAATTGTATTTCATTGTGTTTTAAATACTCACGAACATGTTTGACATTCTGATGACATAGTATTTTGTGCCAGTGTTCTAATGTTAATTTCTTAACTGCAACGTTAGCACAGTGTCCAATTTCCTGTGAAATATCTGTTTTGATTAGCATTGTAAACAATTTATTCTCACGAACACCGACTGCAATTACACGATTATTAATTTTAAATGAGCAACCTTTACTGTCTGTCACCATTGTAATTCTTTTATCAAGGCATGCCCCATAAGAAAATAAATTTACCTTTAGATCAGGTACATATAAAACATTTTCTAAGTAGCCTTTTATCCACTTATTGTCAACATAAGTATGAATATTTATGTTACCTTTTCCAACTGCCATAATGTGCTTACCATCTCCAATACGTACAAGCGAGTGCACATCAAAATGTTTATAATCGACGAACCACTCTTTTCGATTTGTCATGTGGTCTCTCGCACCTGAGTCTTTTCTTTGTACACCAATAAGCGCCAAACCGGAAGTTGATTTCTTTTCTTCTTGTTCCTTTTTAAATATCCTGCAGTCCCTTTTCCAATGTCCTGGTTTTTTACAGTGATTGCATTTTCCTGGTTTTGTATTATCATTTTTGTTCACGTATTTTTGACTTTTATTATACTTGCCTTTGGTTGCAGTCAAAGCACTACTTTCAGCACTATCGTCACGGACCTCCTGTCCTTTCACTTGTCGTGTTTCTTCCACCATCAATCGAGTGGTTGACTGTTCTAGCGTTCTATTTGCACTATTCATTGAGTCACATGCACTGTAGAAGTGCCTTTAGCTATCAGTTAATGTCATCAAAATTTTTGTAATCAACATTGATTCTGAGATATGTTCTCCCAATTGTTTTAGTTGTCTACTTAGATTTTCTAATTTTGAAATATGACCTGCTATATTGTCTTTTGGATCCATTGTATAACGATAGAACTTTTGTTGTACTATTGTTATGCTTGTGTCCGACATCTGTTCGTACACACTAAGTAATTTGTTCCACATACCATTTGCTGTGTCACAGTTCATAATGTATTGTAGAGGTTGTTCATCTAACGATGTGACGATATATTTTTGAGCCTTATTATCTGCCCTTTTCCATATTGAAAAATCAACGCTATGCCTTTTTCTCGCTTCATCTTCAGTTTCATTACCGATTTTTGCTAAAATTGGTTTCTTTGATTTTCCTATTACTAAATCAAATATTTCAGCTGCATTCATGATAACCTTCATTTGAAATTTCCACAGGTCCCAATTTGATGCATCTTTGAGTTTGTTGTTTTTATATTGTTCGTTCTCCATATTTAAAAAACGTAAATGTACACTATCTGCACACTACGAAACGCACTCACACTACACTGCACTTACTTCGCGAATTATTATTGATGTACACTGTCTGTACACAAAAACACGCAATTCGTTAATCAATTATTATATTAATAACTATTCACAACTTTATTATAAAGACCTTACTACTGGGCCCATAACCTGTTGAAGTACACAGATATACAGAAGTTAAAGGTAAATAATAATAAAATCGGATATATATATAATATATGTTCAAGCGCCGCAGTCGATGTATAGCCAATGCGTCTATGAACCGGTCGTGCCGTCCCCCGCCCGTCTAGCATGCTGTCACCGATAACGCACGTCCGCGTAGACCCCGTAAAACGTTGACCTAATTAGTTACCCAACGACCTTTGTTAACGTACGGTCCGTCGTTGTGTCGTCGTTGCGCTGGCCGATCTACGGTTCCGCGTTGCCTTATGCTTGTGAACGCGACTTGATTTGCCGTCCACGTAACGCGTGCCGCCATATCACCGTAACAATATTATTATATTTCATCCGTTCGTTGTAACCTTCATAGGCTGTTCTTCGCCGCTTCGTTGGTCGTGTTATTGCTTCTTATACGGTGCCAGGTCGACCGACTGTTATATTATATTAAAGTGTTGTTCGTGCGACCTGTGCTGCTATTGTTATACGGCCGCTGTTTGGTTTGGCGAGCATCTGTGAATCGTCTATAATACGCGTGCGTTCGGTTCTGATCAAACCAAACCCACACCTGTATTTTCTGTCATACGTCATCGTAGCCGCCGCATCTCGTGACGAGTGTTACGTGTGGTCTCAAACGTCAGCGGTCATATTGTACCTACTACCTACTATCAAGTCGGAGTTGGCAACAGCCAAGTCATCCCAAACGGTCGCAGGAGACGCGCGTAATTATTTATCATAGTCCAGTGTTGGTTATTATTATGATTACCTGTTATTATTATCATATGTGTTGATAGTATCATTTATTGATTATTCTGTGTTAATATTTATATTTTGTACTTTTCCTATTGATTGGTACTGAGGCGCCGGTACCAAATCATTAGCCATTGCCTCTATTATTATTATCTCTTTTGTATTTCATCAATAAATTATTGTATGTGCCTTGCCATACGTGCACGTTATATATCTCAGAGTATAGTTGATGAGGTCATAGTCTGAGAATCCAACTGTCACATTGGTCCCGGTATTCCTTCAAACTGTTAGCTCTCGTTGATGTAGTCAATGAGGCCGACCACTAAAATCGTAGGAGCCCCTTGACTAAACAATATAATAATAAGTATAATGATACGATGTACGATAGTGTTACGAGGCGTAATATAAATCAACGACTAACTATGTAATATGTATACCCGGCTACATTACACAAGACATTTATGCTGTAGTATTATAAAAATGTATAGTCAGCGTCTGCTGAACTACAGTGTGAATACATTACTTATACACTACATTATATAGGTTGTTTTGTTTATAATTCCAACCGTTATTTTAATTTTCATTGCTTACATGTTTGCATGATAATTTTACTACCTCCAAATTTAACTAAAATGCTTAATTTTTGTGATGAGCTTATAAAATACTTTATAAATGAATTTTGTTTAATTTATGGCTCGGAACATGCATTACACAATATACATGCACTCCAACATCTTATATATGATTACAATAATTTTGGTCCCTTGGACAACGCAAGTGCTTTCCCTTTTGAGAACCATATGAAAACACTTAAAAAGACAATGATAAAATCTGCTCAGCTGCTACAGCAAGCTGTAAAAAGGTATGAGGAAAAATTTAAATTCCAAAAATGTACCAATACAGTAAGCCCGGTCGACGCTATATTAAAAAAAACAACATACAAATGGACCCTTATTGCAAGATTTACACAACCCACAATATAACATTTTAATTTTAAAAACTTTTCAAATAAATATTACCTCTTCAGATAATTATATTTCTACTAAACTAAAAAAAATTGTAAAAATTAAAAATATTTGTTATGATAAATTTGGAGGGATAGTAATTGTAGGTAAATCGTTTTCTAGTAAAAATCCTTATTGTAACAATCCCATTGATAGCACAAAAATTGGTATTTATGTAGTTGATGATCTTTCCACGGAATATGAATATTGGAGTATACACGATATTGAATGCAAATATATGATTTTAAAAATCCAAGATCAAAAAATAGGTTTTCTGATCATACACACTTCGTCAAATAAATTTATATAAATATATACGTTTACTACCTGCGCCTTTAAATAATTATTTATTATTGTTTTTATTCCAACTATACATTATAATAATATATATTTGTATTCTGTACGACTACAGTACCTATATAATTTTTTAACATTCGACCACTGTAACTGTAATTGTAATTATTATATATATATTATATTATCATAATACTTAATTATTTTTATTTATAATTATTATATATTGTAATATTTTGACTATCTTTTAATTTTCACTATTTTAAGGTGTTATTTGTATTTTTGTTTTTTTTGTCTTACTTTTACAGTTTCTACTTTCTATTTGTGTCATGGTACAATAGAATATAATATTCTAAATATCATAAATTAATCTTTAATTGAAAAAGAGTGTTGTTTTATAAAAATCTAGGATGTTAAAAATAAGTAGGTAACTACAGTTATTTAGATTTATTTGAATAAAAACTAAAATCGTATGCAACAAAAGATACCCCGCTATACGTAAGTATAGGTATCATAAACTTATATAGTGTTATAATATTATGTTATGAATCGGCTAAGTTAACGAAATTATAAATATATATATCGACGGACACGCGTATAGGACAACGAAATCTTTTTGTAATATAGTATTGATATAAGCATAGACCTTTTACTCATAGACCGGCCCTCTCCAAGTTTCCGCCGTTTCAACATAGGTGGCGCTTTTCGGTTACTGAGTTACTCTGATACGGTGAAAAAATTATCGTATAGGACCAGCTGTCTATCACGGATATAATATTATCTTGCAGTGCTTTTGAGTTTTTTCGCAGTTAAATGTTCACTTTTTACACTTTCTTTTGTTTGCTATTTAAGTAATCAGAATTTATTTACAAACCACAGAGATCAGTTAATAACAATAATAATAACTACTTTTATAACATTAAGACTTCGACATATCGCCAACCAACAACAAAAGGAAACAATGGGAGTTAGAAAAAAATTTACTAAACTAATTTTATTTAGAAATGAATAAGTAGGTAACTAAATAGTCAGTTTTTTGTACTTAATTTTGAATGATTTTATATGTTTGATACTTATTATTTAGTTACAAATATATTATTATGAATTATAATAAATAGTGGTCGTTTATTTTATATGTATAAATTAAATTAAAAAAATTAATTATAGGTATTAGGTACCTATATTATATTTTTCAATTATTATATATTTCCATTGCACATGATTTTATGGCAGCACTGATCCATAAATGGACAGCATCACTGCGCTATGTTGGCACGCGACTATCAATGTATTTAGTATAGGATGGGCCGGTCTATGAGTAAAAGGTCTATGGATATAAGATATTATGTTTTCGTGTCCATAATGTATGTATAGGTACTGATAATTTATAAACTGTAACCATTCGGGTAACGTGGTATTAATTTTTGAACTATAAATAAACACTCAAAATACGGGGAACAATGATATAGGTCAGAGCCGTGTTAATGGGGGGGGGCAAAGGGGGAAATTGCCCCCGACCACCGTAGTTTTGTAAAAATAATGGGGCGCCTTTATTTGCGCTTAATATACTACATGTGGCCTCGAGAACCAAATATGTTATAATTTTATTATTATATATATTTTAGTATTTTAAGGTCTATTTTAGAATCATGTATAATATGGTACTGTTTGTGACAAATAGGTTGGCTTGGTGACGGCGACGGTGATAAAGAAAAACCCATTTCTCCGTATTTAGATATTATTTACCGATTATATAGCTAAATATTATTAAATTGATATTATTAGTATCAAAGTTCCTGACTGCAAAATCACATGCCTTAGGAAATGGTATGCCTGGTCGGGATTTGTTCCATCAAAGTTCGGCACTACTCGCATTGCTGCTTCGATGCTTACTCCGGATTTGGGTCCTTCCATAGAATCAGAGGTATTGTTGGTCATGATTTCTATCTGTCGCTCTGACGTTTTTTGCCTTTTTATACTTTCTGAATATTTTTGCTGCTCTGAAATTGGTTGAGGTTCTGGATGTTCCGCGTGTTCCTTGTCTTCACGATGCTTTGGATGTTCTGAACTTTTGATTTTCGGTTGCTCTGGATGCTCTGAATTTTTGACTTTTTGATGCTCTTGATGCTCTGAACTTTTGACTTTAGGAAGCTCTGGATGCTCTGAACTTTTGATTGTCGGTTGCTCTGGATGCTCTGGACTTTTGACTTTTTGATGCTTTGGATTTTCGGTACCGGTTTGAAGCTCTGACGTTCTGCCCGATGTTTGACTACGCAAGAAGTACCTAGCTTCACCTAAAAGTTCGTCTGTTCGTCCTAAGGAGTCTCTTACCCTGCGTAATACACTATTCGGCTCATGCAAGTCCCCACTTGAGGGATCACTACTGGAGCTATCAAAATCAATTAAATCTGCGCTAATATTATCGTCCAACCCTGATTTCGACATACACTAGCTATAAAGTTCCCACTATTTAAAAGCAATAAAAAAAAAATAATAATAATCCTAAAAATAATAAAATAAAAAAAAAAAACCCAAGAGAATAATTTTAAATTAGGGATAGCAGTAAATAGCGTTTGGGAAAGAATAATAGAAAACGAAATAGCAATCAAACGTAATAACTGTCCCTGTAGTAATAAAAAAAAATTAATAATATTTGTGCTTCCCATTCGCAATTATTCCCTTTGTAACAATAAAATGAAACTTACAGAATTGTGCCTAATAAATATTGTTGCATATTGAATTGGAGTCGACTGTTGTTGTTTACTCTCGATAACGCTTCTGTAGATAGCGGCACGATGTTATTGATACTCTGACCCATTAAAGTCAAATCAAACACATTCTACCAACATTTTTTTAAAGTCTAAATTAATTTTAAATTTTATATGTTTTGTTAAATATGTTAATATGTACTTATGTACCTAATGAATGAATTTCTACCAAACAAAATAAAATGTATATAATAATATTATACACTTATACAAAAAATAAACAGGATTTTTACACACCGATGTATGCAAAATATTCTGAGGTTAACTAATTTGAAATTTAGGTACTACTTTTTGTTGTTAATGTATGTGTACTATTCCTTCAACAGAAAAAAACATATAGATGCTGAATGATAATTTTCTCTGATGTTGCAATACTCTAATTATTATATAAAAGTAGTATATCGTGTTACAGGGGCGTATTTAGATATTTTTTTTTTTGGGGGGGGGGGGGGGCTGGGGTATTTTCTCCAACTGAGACACATTATACTATGAATAATTTGTTCGTTGTTGATAATAATTCTTTATAAAATTATATTGAACTTTTACGATTTTACATCTAGTAGAACATAATAAGTAGACTTAATAAACAATTCCTAGATTTCGGGGGGGGGGGGGCTGAAGCCCCCTCAGCCACCCCCATAAATACGCTCCTGTCGTGTTACCTACACTATTACCATTTTACACTACTCTTTTACACATAAAACCAGAAATAAAATAATACCTTAAAATATAAAAACATACTTATTTCGGAATTTGAAAAAGAGTGTTCTTTTTGAAAGTGTTGAATTAGAACTGTTTTCATATTGCAACCATACCCACAATAGTTGCAATTATATAAAAAAAAATTGTGTTTGGCTTTTTGATGCCGAAGCAATGAACATCGTTTTTTATATTGGCATGAACAAAAATCACAATTAAACATTTTTAATGTATATTTGTATAATTTAACTGAGTACAAAAACTACGACAAACAAATGGGAACTTTTTTATTAGAATATCCGCAATAATATAGCTATATGGGTACATACCACGGTCTTATAATATACCGTGCTAGTATACTAATAGCACAGAACAATATTATACCCTGTTCCACGAGACATCATGCCGGTTCTGCGCATCTCCCTGCATCTCACTGCTGTCGAAACTGGTTACCCTATGACAGGGTGTAGCGTAGGGGACCCAGTTTTGGTCGGTGCGCGGCATGATCTCTCGTGGAACAGAGTATAGTCTATTTATTGAAAATAAGATTATGTAAAAATAATCCGCTAGATGGCGTACTAGGTCTTTTTGACTACTACACCTTGAGGTATTGCAAATGGTTAATCTGCTAAGTGATAACAAGGTTTGATAAGAACTTGATATCGGAAATTATCTTGTCGCGAGACGCCTGTCACTGACACGGTGGCGTCGACCTTGACCTATTAATGCGGCGGCGTTGCGTACTACTGCCCGACGATGACACTGTTCAACACGGCGCGGCGACGATGACGACGACCAAGGCGATAACAACCGATCCCTCCTCGCTCGTGTGCACGGGACGCTGAACCACGGCGTATGAACGATTTGCCTTGGCGGCTACGGCGACGCGTATAATATGAATATTATATATGACGCATAACAACGAAACTGCCAGCAACGCGTATCGAACGAATTAACACTATTTCTTAGATCGTATTTAATGTGATCTGGTTGTCTCGACGGCGACTGCGGGACGATGATGCTAACGCGCCCGTCCGGTAATGAATTGTATAGATGTATATAGTATACACCGGCGTATAGACATATATATTATATCCGACCGGCCGAATGTATAATGTAACACGCCGTAACGACACTGACGACGGCGGTGCGTATTTTTCCAATTTACAATATATTTTTTTTTTTAAATACGTATACTATATATATACCTTTAGACACTCGAGTCTCCGATTATTGAACGTGATTCTGCCTTATCTTCCTGTACTGATTTTCCGTAGTGATTTTCTGACCGGTTGAAACCAAACGGCGGTGGTCCACGTAGGTTCTTTAGTGATCTCCAAAATTGCACCGTCACAAAATAAATTATGACAATTCTTCCCTTTCAGAGATCCCATCGCTGCCACCAATGAAGTGTGACCCACAGTCGAATGACGTAAAACCGTAGGTATTGGTGTTAAATAAGTAACACGTAGATTACGTATACTAAGATTTACGATTTATTAAATTAGGCACTTGTTGTAATAATGTATATAATGCTTTTATAAGTTGATATTAATACTAAATATTTCAATTAAACACAAAAGAATTAATATAAATAATTAATGTAATGAATCTATATAAATACTGACACTGAGAGAGGTTCTGATTAACACTATAATATGAGGTTCTGATTAAAAACTATGAAAAATGCTCTGACCAGTAACGCGGGTGTTGCTCACACTTTGGACCTTACAAGACTGCCGTCCGCCGGGCGAGGCCCGCCGCAACGGTCCGTCCGGGTCTCTAAGAATGTGCTGACCCAGCTTTTTCGGTCACGTAGACCATCGTGAGAACCGAATCGTTCACACACTCGACTTAGCCCGAGTCAACACATTTATCCCTATATATGTATTACATACATACACATATATACATAAATACATACATACATATATACATACATACATACATACATAGGTACGCACATACGCGTGCATGCATATACAACCAAATGCTTATTTCTGGTTCTGGTAATAATTTATTAAAAAAAAAATATATATATATTTATTTAATATTTTTGTTTCTTTTAGTTAACGACCCTAATAAAAATAAAGAGTTGGTGAATTTACATGAACAAGCATCAGAATTTAATGACCTAGATGAGATTGACTTAAACAATGTAAGTATTTAATAATTGATGTTAATTAACTTAAACATTAACTTAACTGAACTCAGTTCAAAATTATCATTAACTGGCCCAGGCTTGCTGTAATATAGTAATTAATGTATTATATATTATAATATATATTAAATGGTTAATATTTTTAAATAATATCAAATGATTATTGAATATATAAATAATTTACAAAGATAATATTATATATTTATATATACTAATATACTAAAATACACAATTTTATAGGATCAGAAATATTCAGATATAGAACACAGGGCTAAAAATTTGGTTTACCTTGAAACTGATCCAGCCAAATGGATTTTAAATAGTAATACAATAAATTATTTAGTACACAATAAAATATCAACTTGTTGGGAGAGCATCAAGTTTAAATCAACTTTGCGTAAAGTTGGTAAATATTCTCGGTATCTTCCTAGGCAAGTATTTACAAGGGAATTACATAATGGTGAACGTAAATCTCGAGATTGGGTTTTATACTCTTGTTCAGAAAATTCTTTATACTGTTTTTACTGTCTTCTATTTGCACAAAATGAAACTAAATTTAGTCTGTAGTCATCAAGGTAAAGGATTTATTAACTGGAAAAAATGTTTAGACTATGTTAAAAATCATGAAAAAAATCAAATTCATCTTAGATCTGTGAAATTATGTTTTTCCAAACAATATGAAAATCTAGAAACTATAGACAAACAGCTTAAAATTGAAATTCAGAAAGAAGAATCATATTGGCAACAAGTAATTAATCGTTTAATTGAAACTATTATTTTCTTATCATCTAGAGGACTTGCATTTAGAGGTGATGATCAAATCCTAGGTTCTGGGCACAATGGAAATTATTTAGGATGTCTTGAATTAATCTCTAAATTTGATCCATTTCTTTCTACTCATATTGACAAGTATGCAAATAAAGGCAAAGGAAATGTGTCATGTCGAATACCATTTGTGACGATTTAATTTTAACCATGACTAAAACTGTTTTAGAAAATATTGTTCAGGACACTATAACTTCTAAATATTTCTCAATTATCATAGACTCTACACCTGATATATCAAAAGTTGATCAACTTACAGTAGCAATAAGATATATTCTACCAGACGGTTCACCTGTTGAACGTTTTTTGGGATTTTTACCTTCGGTTGGTCATAAGGCAAAAGATATGGAATTGGCTATACTTCACTTTTTTTCTGAACTTGGGATTGACATGAAAAACTGTATAGGACCAATTTATGACAATTCTCAAAATATGTCTGGAATCTATAATGGATTACAATGCCGTATAAAAAAAAGCTCTTCTACTGCTGAATTTGTGCCTTGTTCGGCGCACTCACTGAATTTAGTTGGTACATTTGCAGCTGAAGAGACTAGTGTAGGTAATCGGTTTTTTATGATCACTCAAGGTTTGTATACTTTTTTTTCTGGTTCTACATCACGTTGGAAGATCTTAGAAAATTAACTTAATTCTATTCCTAATTCAACATTGCTTAAAAATGTATGTCCTACAAGATGGTCATCAAGATATTTTGTTTGCAAGTCAATAAAAAATGGTTATAAAAAGATTGTTGTTGCATTACAAAATATATCAGAAGATGTAAGTCAGAGGCCTGCTACATGACATGAAGCATTAGCTCTATTCAAAAAAATGAAAAACCTAGAATTTACATTCATGTTAGTCTTGTGGACACCTATATTAGAAAGATTCAACATAACCATCAAAAGTTTACAATGTGTTGATATGGATTTATCATCGGTGGTAAAATTATACACATCACTTGAATTATATATTTGTGAATTAAGAAATAATTTTGAAACTATATTAAATGAAGCTATAAGTATTTGTGAAATAGATTTGTTTCCCTATGATTTGAAAAGACAAAAAAAGGGCCGTATTTTTTGATAAAGGAGGTTCGGAAGATATTATATTTTCAGAAAAAGAAAACATGAAAATTAAAACATTTTTTCCTATCATTGATGCTTTAATCAGTAATTTAAATAAACGAAAAGAAGCGTACAATGAATAAAATGAAAAATTTGGATTTTTTTTACATTTAGAAGACATAGACCAAACTGAGCTTAAATTAAGAGCTGAAAAGTTAGTAAATATATACGAAGATGACTTAGATATTGAATTTGTTGAAGAATTATCACCGTTTAAACAAATGGTTTTGTGTATGCCAGAAAGTCAAAAAAATTCTTTTCACGCTTCATCGAAAGCATCAATAAAATATAATATAAGTTCTACATTTCCATCGATAGAAATTGCCCTTAAAATATTTAATGCATGCCTTGTTCAAATGCTAGTGGTGAACGCTCATTTTCTGTTTTGAAAAGAGTAAAAACATATCTCCGTTCATCATTAGCTAATGAAAAAACATCATCATTATTGTGCATGGACTCTAAAGTTGTAAAGAGTATTGATTGGAGTACTTTAGTCAAGAGATTTGCCAAAGATAAAGCAAGAAAAAAATTATAAAATATTGTTTGGTATTTTTATATATTAATTATTAATGATTAATTTGTTATCAATATTTTTAGTTAAAATAAACTAAAAAATATATTAAATATTGTATATTATATTTTAGTTAGTTTTCGTGGTATTTGATAATATGGAGATTTATATAATAAGAAAACGATTAATAGTTAAATTGTAGGGAAGGGGCGCGAAAAAATTTTGCCCCGGGGCGCTGAATAGCTTGACACGGCTCTGAATTATAGGTACATTACTGTCGCAATTAGATTGACCGATTTGTCAAAGCTATCTCTTTTTTCTTCGAAATACGGGTCTGAGACCTGAGTGATAGCCATAATAATACGATGGGCGTATATTATATATTATAATATTTTATTACCTATAGGCTATAATACTAACATAACAGCTAGTATAGACTGCGCATGTAGCTTTAGTATACATAAAATAATAAATCTAGTGTATAACTATTACAGTATTTAGTGGCAAACAACATACTTATAATAGGTATTGAAACCTGTCTACAACGGACACCTATCCATAACGGACAATTATTTTGGTCCCGTGACTGTCCGTTATATATACAGGTTTCACATAAAATATATAACAATTATATGTATATTATATTATATATATACAATATATAGCTTCACTGAAAATAATGCGAATAAAGTTTTTTAAGTATCTAAGAAGTGTTAAATAACTGTATTTACAGCGCAATTTTAATTTAATGTGTATACAGTCTTAATTAGGTAACCTATAATATATATGTACGGATTAAGGCTTAATTAGCATTAGTTATGTTATTCTACTTAAATATTATTCATTGTACGTTTATTCAGCATTGTATAGAAATTAACTTTTTAATACTTATAATTTAAACTAAATTAAGTGGTTATAAAGCATTTAAAATTTATTCTAATTTAAATGTTTCAAAATTAACACTTTATCTAGTTTTATTAAAGTTTATTTTTCGAACCCTTTAAAATTCAATTCAATCTCAACGTTTATCAAAGTTTTAACATTGGTAAATGGTATGTGGGATATTTTTTTTTTATTATTTAGTTAATCCGTGGCAACAAAGGCCATCATTGGGTGGGGGGAGGGCGGTACTTTAGGTTGTGGGACACGTCTTGTGTGTTTGGCAGAATTTCTAGTGGGCACCCGTAAGTTTCTGTCATGCATGGGTGGGGGGCGGTGGCTTCTTTCTCCAGACAGCGTGAACTGCCCCGAAGAACAAAGCGCCCATGTCCGAGATTCTTGTCTATAAATTATGATTCGAACCGGCGACGGTGCGCGTCCGCACGGCCACTTCACCCCTCGCTTCTATAAATTGTTCTATGGTTATAAGTAGCGTTCTACCGGCGGCGGTAGTATAGTATATAGCAAGGGATTCGGTTGGTGAATTATAATATTACATAATCATACAGTACAGTTTGTAGTACCTATACACTATACCTATACACCTACATTTGTTGTCTCCGTCTTACAATAGTGCATAACATTGCGAATTTACGCTCAGCAGATCCAGTGGCGCATTTATACATTAAGCGCCCTGGGGCGACATTTTTCTAGCGCCCCCCCCCCCACAAAGAAATATACATTTAATTATAAACAATAAAAACTAAAGAGTAAATTAAATAATAACACCAAGCGTTTAATGCCGTATGCGTAGTCAATTTATTACACAAGAGAGTCAAAGACAAAAATAAAATAAAAGTGGTCGGCGACGATCGGGAAAATATTTATGGATAATAATAATATTATGTTATTTTTAACCTGTATTGACTGAATAAAACGTAATGCCGCCACAGGTCATAAATATAAATTATAATATATATATATATATATAAATCATAGATATATTATATTTGTGATTGTCGCAATCCCGTGCCGCTCATAGACCCGTATGCAAACCGTTTATAATCATATTAGACATTAGACCTTATGAGTTATGAGTATTTAGGTCTATGTTTAATTATTATATTATGTTTAATTTATAATCTTTATTATACTTTGTATTTTGAATAATAATTATATCAGACAGAATAGAAAGATTTCAATCTTATGTAGTGGTAAACTATAAAAAATTTTCCGCCTCCTAAAATTTGGCACCCCGGGCATTTGCTCCAGTTGCCCCCCCCCCCTTAAATGCGCCACTGAGCAAATCATAATTATTATAGTTTCGAATTATTTAAGAATTAGAGTGAATTGTCAATCGACCTATTATCAAACTTAATAGTAAGAATATCATCTGCAGTGTTTGAATGGGTTTTTTTTTATAATAATTCAGTTATCACTTATTAAGTGAGTTATAAGCATTTTGAATTTGTGCTATAATAATAAACAGTTTTTGCGATGGTTGCATAACGAATAATAGGTAATAAAATAAAATATTAATTCATAACAAATAATTAACTTATTACTTATTAATAAGAAGTTTGATTGTGTCATAATAGTGTTTAGAAGGTACACTTTGAAATATTTGGGGATCCTGATCCCTCTAATCAATATTGAAATAAAACGAACTAAAATAGTAAATTCTATATATTATTTTCGAATAGCTTTATTAGAATATGTTGGTTTGAAATCAATTGATTATTTGAGCAGGATTTAAATGTATTCCATAGACAACAGACCTATAATTATAGGCTATAAATAAATGGTTAATGGACTAATAGCAGACAATGTCCGAAACCAACATTGTTAGAAAGATATATCAGAGAATTCGAGTTCTATCTTCTATCATATTATATTTATCACAAAAGGGACAGAGTAAGGTTAACAATGTTGGAACCTACAAGGCACTAAGACAGAGATAGGGGATGATTTTTTTTAAATTTTAAAATTATAAATACGCAAGAATCAGTATCTGCATATTTTGCTCATCTCCTGTAACTTATTTTAAACATATTGCTACAACTATCTTGAAGAAATATTGGAACGAGAAACACTCTATATTGTTGACACAATCTTTTAAAGAAATATTGTCAAAGCGTTTTAATTATGTATTTTATAAAAATATTTTTACTACACAATAAAAATACATTGTGCCAATAATTGAACCTACATGTTGTTAAAATAATTCTAGAAACATATTTTCAAAATGTGATATGAATATTTTTTAACAATATCTTGCTCATACATGTAAAAAACATATTGCACCAATATGAAATTTAGTAATATTGTAAGCAACATATGTGTTAAATATTGAATATGTTTAAATTGCTATGTGAGTTGTTTTTTTTTATAAAATATAGATTTTTATTTAATATAGATTTTCTTTAGATCGGAAATCTTTAATATTACGGTTATAATATAATTTATTCGTTCAAAATGCTCATCATTTTTTATATAACAGCTCTATTTTTAAATCCACATATCCATATTCGATTGAATAAATAATAAAAAATGTATATTATTTAATAACAAAATTCGAACTTGATAAAAAATCTACATTCAATAACAAAATATTGATTAAATAGTACAAATAGTATAAACAAACTATACAGGTATTTATCACATAATTCGCACGAATTCGCACGCCTGGTTTGAAAATTCGCAATTCCTTCCCCTAGAAAAACAAAAAAATCATGGGGGGTGGGCTGGCAAAACGTTTCGAAAGAAATTAATATTGATATTAGGTACCGTCATTTTTTACACCCTGCCATTTTGTTTTCCATATTTCCAATTCTGTCTGTAGTTAAAATTTATCATCAAATTCTGTTTCATTGAAATTATATAATTTTGTGGCAGCCTCAATTATTTTTTTAAAAATCTTCACCAGTAATATCTACAATGTATCGTGGAACTAACAGGCATAGATTCCATAACAACTTATTTTCTTTACTCAAGAACCGTGATTTTAAATCTTCAATAATGCTATCAAGTAATGGTATGTAAAAAGAAACTCGATAATATTCTTCTGTTGTTTTTGCCGGATGGTTGGCACGGTTGGTTTGTTTTTTTGATAATCTAGGCACTTTAACGTCAATATCCAATTCAATCATTAACTCTTCGCATTCTTTAAATATCTCTTCAAATATTGATTGTCAATTATTACATTTATTTTCTAAATTTGAAATAACATCGTCTATACAGTTTTTAGCACATAACACATCATTATTTATGCCTTGAAGAATACGACTCATTGGAGCTGTCACACATAAAATATTTGATAAACATTGAATTGCGATTATAAATTCGCAACTGCACATAGCTGTTAATAAACGTTTAGCTTTAGATGAAGAGACAAGTTCATTCCATTCAGAAATTTTAGTTAAAGCGTCAATCGTATAGGGTATAGATTTTTTAAATATCATAACACTGTCATGGCGTTCTATCCAACGGGTCTCACATAAACTTTGTAAACGAGGCTGACCATCCAGGACAGTTTTTAAGATACAATTTCTTTAAGATGAACAATTGAAAAACTCTATTATTTCTTTCATTAGTCCTACGCTGTTCCTAATACTTTGGACTGATGATGATTTTGAGATAGAGAGATTCAATGCATGATTTGCACATGACAATGGATAGCATTTTTGGCAAAGGATTGAATTTTTTGCACAGCTCCTCGCACTAACGATACCATAACTGAACAACTGTCTGTTCCAATGACCACGCAGTATTTAAGATTTAAATCAAATTTTTGTAATAATGAAATTACTGCGTCACCCAAAACTTCACCATTTAATTTTGGTTCTAAGTTTTTTTCTGTATCTGTATTGTAAACATATGCATGACAATCGATACACGCAATAAAATTTTCTTTTACAACTGCTTTATGTACGTATCGTATAACTAAACTTATTTGAGATGAATGACTAATGTCAGTAGTTTCATCAAAAAAAATGGAATAGAATTTTGATTCTTTTTTTTCTTTTAAAATGATTTCTGTTACAATTGTTCTACAACATTCAATTAGTTCATTCTGAACAACAGGACTGATATATGTAGCTTTAAAATGTGTAGTTTTCAAATGATTTTCTAGAATTGAATCCCCAGAATTGATTCGGTAATGTAGAAGTTCACGAAAGTTACCTTTATTTTTTTCGAGATCATTTTCAAAAAAATTACCGTGATCACGGTGGCCCCGAAAGGGAATATTCTGTCGACCTAAAAATATAATAGACTCCACAATAGGTTTCAAACGATTCCGGTTTTCTTCAATTTGTTTTTTTCTCTCGGTATTTATCAAATTTATAACTTCCTTTTTTGGATTATTAAAAGTAGTCATAAAATTATCTGCAACTTCAACACAAGCTACATGATAATGGTTTCTGCTATGAATTTCTAGATCTCCGTCTTTACCTAGGAGCTTGGCATATTTTTGAAATGGTTTAGAAACAAATTTGAATAATTGAATAGTTTTATATCGACCACCTTTATCGCTAAACAAAACACAATATTTACAAAACAATCCAGACATCTTTTTAGAATATGTCAACCATTTATATTTCTCAAAATAAATTTTACTCCGGTACCTTTTTTGGAATGTATAGAAAATGGATAAACAAAATCAATATCAGGTATATTACTCGATTTTATCAATACGGTCAAGCACGGTCATGGTCAGTTATACTAATTTTAGATTCTTTTAAAAAGTTTGCTATATCTAAATTAAATGTGGTAGTGGCACTACCAGATGAAATATTAGTTACTGGTGTATTCAGCGATGATGAATCTGCAGATTTCGGTGCGGTTATATTTGTCATAGTGTCATTTTTCATTTTTTTTGCTGTTTTTGTCAGGATCATTGTCAACATCTTTGCGTTTTAACCATTGACTCATAAATTGGAGAAGGTAGTTAAAAGGTAAGATTATTATTTACGTGTAACAGCAATTAAAACAACTGGTGAATTTCGCACGAGTACAAAATAATACATAATGAATTGATGACGGCACAATGTCACGTATATAAAATAGCGTGCACGGGAATACGGGATGCAAAATCTGTTGCAAGTGGCAAGTGTACGAATAACGATTGTATGGCGAATAGGCGAACGGAACAGTCGAACACACACAACACATTTCCATAAATATCATATTTAATTATTCCATAGATAAGTATATAAATAGTATATAATATGTCCGGCGAATAGTCCGGGTGGCGTATTTTGCAAATGTAGGTACACTCAGAACCGGGTTGCTCTGATTGGTCCAATTTGAATTTGCCGCTATTATTATTATTATTATTATTTTATTATCAAGAACTAAATAAACTTATATTTGAATTGCCGCTAATAATAACAATAATAATAATAATTTTGAATTATTTAAAGATATATTTAGATTACGTCTTTTATCTTTACCTTTAATGATAATAAGTAATAACTAATAAGTACCTACTTACTACTTAATAACGTTACGCTTTTTTTCTTATATATTATAATTAATTTGTAATTAATACTATTTATTATTTTTTATAAACATTACAACCTATTTTCTATAGGTAGTAAGTATTAATAAATATCGAAGAACCCTACAAATTGTTAAACTAATAATAATGGTAATTCAAATATTTTACTAAGTGTATAAATTAGTATTTAATAAATGCATTCAATATTATATTATATTATATTATTATATAGTAGTTCATATTATTAAGTAATATTATGTGTGTCATATTATGTATTGAATAGGACACATTATACACAAAATCATTATTGGAGTACTTTGAAGGCTCCACATTTATGTTAGTTGTCTCGGAATGTCTATCTTCTAAAAATGTATTGACATTACGTACATATATGGATGATAAAGATGATGCTAAAAGTTTTATTAGGAAATTTGGAAAATTTGATGATAGTTATTGGATACAAGGTAATAGGTTGAATAAAGGAAATAGTAGTCGGTAAGTATATTTTATTTATTAAATTAAAAGTATAATCAATTTTAATTCAATTGAAGTTGTTAATTTTAATTACCTAGTATATAGTTAGGTAAGGATATAACCAATTTGAGTGCTGAGATAATTTATTTTCCTATAAGTATTAAGTACCTAATAACTATAAGTAAAAAAAAAAAAAAAAATAAAAAAAAAAAATATTTTTTTTTGTCTGTCATCATCTTTGAAGTAGTGAAATTGCTTCAAAAGTTAAATCTATCACTTTCCTATATTACTTTTCTTATATTGTCTAATAGTAATGGGATATGAAAATCTAATTTGAAGGGCCAAAAGTAAAAAATTCTTAGTGCCTAATTTTTTTATTTTAAGTCATCCTACAATGTATTGACTTTTATAGGTTTGTAATGCATAACAAATGGGTGTGCAGTTTTAGTTCACATAGAAAAGTGGAAAGCAGTAAAAAAAACCAAAAATGTGATGCATTTATTGATATTTTGATAAAAATTGTGACAAAAGGATCTAAGAAAAATGATGAATACTTAAAAAGAGACCCTCCTCTAAACACTGTTATTAAAATTAATCCTTTTCATAGCCATAACTGTGGTAGTGCTGATGCTCTAAAGCGATTATTTATTGATCCAGAAGTAAAATCTGTTTTTCTAAAATATTTTGCTGATGGACTTTCTCCTAGTCAAGCAATGAAACAGAATATATCTAGACTTCGTACTCTTCCAAATTATATAGTTTCATTGGCTAATGGTGCATTGAACCCAAGACCTTGGACTATATATAGACTGTGGCATAAATATTTGGAAGAAAACTATGGAAGTTTTAAGGAACCTTTTGAGAGATTGGAAGAAAAAATCCCAGATTATTTAAACCAAGGTATTATTATTTGATTATTAATAAATTAATTTATTATTTGAATATATAAAAATGGCTAAGTATCATAATTAGGTAGTATAATAACATTGTCTTACATTATTTGTTTATAACATATTTTGTAAATTTATTTTATATATTATAATATATTTATAATATACTATAATATGTAATGTGTAATAGGTTTAATATTATTTGATGTGGTATTTAAATAAGGAATTTAAACACATGGAAATATTATTTTTAGATTATATGGTCCTTTTTTAAATTATATTTTAGTCAGTTTCTATGAAAAAATAGTCCATAAATGATTTGTATACTTTTATATTTTATAAATTGTACCTGAAGAGATTATTACTCAATATTTTTTTCAAATCTGTTGAATTTTTAATACAATCTTTAGATAATATTATTATTAATATAAAAAAATATTAATTTACATACATGTTTAAAAAGTACCAAACTTCTTTGAATATATACAAATATATTGAACATTTTCATTACAAAACTGATAGACACATATTTTTTTTATAATATAATGTTAACTGTATAATACATTTAATTCATTAGTGTTGTGCAAATAATAAAAAAATAAGATAATACTTAAGGTAAGTTAATATTATATACTAGGCATTTTATGAATTAATAATTCATCAAACTTAGTAGTTTATACTTTCTAGTCAATATTTATAATTTTTATAGGCATACATGTTGTAATGGATAAAACAGATCCATGGGTAGTCCTTGTTGTAACACCATTAAATGAAAGAGCACAAAAACTGAAAAATAGTTCTGAAATCATATTTATGGATTCAACTTCTAGCTGTGATGTGTCCATGGCATCTGTTACTGTTCTCTTAACAGCTACAAAGGGAGGTGCAGTGCCAATTGGGGTTTTAATTCATAAGCAACAAACGGCTGTGGCCTATGAAAAGGGATTTAAAATGCTAATGGATAATTTTCCCTTATGTTTCAATGGATTAACGGTAATTAAATATTTATTATGTATTCCAAACAATATTATTCATTTTATAAATATTTATTCTAATATGTACCTATTTATACTAAATAATACCAGTTATAGTTATTATACACTTATCTCAATTTTTTATATTTTCCACTTAATCATTTATTTCACTAGTTATGTAAATTATAAAATATGTTAAAAAAATTAAATAATCTTATATTTGTTGTTATAACCTGAATTTTTAAATTATAATTAAATAAAATAGTTGAAACAATTATACAATTATACAATTATATTATATAACAAATTAATATTAATAATATAAATTATAATTGAGTACATTATTCAACAATAAATAAATTGAAAACCAAACATATTATGTATTAATGTATAATGAATTTAATAATATATCTACAATCGGATTTCATCATATTTAAAAACACTTATGGCATAATAGCTAGAAGGTAGAGATTAAAGACTAACTCTTTAACTAGGTAGGTACAAGGTTAAAATAATTAACCAAAAATGTGGTGGTAGGACGTGTTTTTGTGCCGCTCCCGGGTATTTTCGGTTTTTGGCAGTTATAGTGCTTCGTTTTTTGCGCAGTGTGTGTCGAACGACGCGTTGCGTCGACTGGTCCAAACCGCGGGGAAATCGGCTTTGTTTTCGCGGAGAAATTGCGATTTTTCCGCTCACCGCGTGTTTTTTTTTGCTACCGCGTTACGCAAAATCGAGTTCCGATCTAAAAAGTGCGCGTTCAGGCCGGTGTCGGTTTAGAGTCGGCCTGATAAGACCCACCGCACCCTCCCAGAGGGGTCGGTGCATCGCGCGCCTCCCTCGGACTCCCTGGATCGGGGTAATTCAGCGACCCTAGCTCCTGAGCCGCCGTGTAAATTGCGGCTGAACTACACGCGCCACGATCGCGCGCTGTAGCTCAAAAGACGCGGCTGGAGGAGACGAAGTCAGGAACACCTTCCATGATGAGGTCCGACAAATAGCGGGTGAGTAAACTAAAGTTTCACTTACCCCCTATCTACTTACACGGCCGCCCAAAGCCGCCCGGGTGAAAACGGCGAAACAAAGAGACAGCTGATTTCCGCGTCAGGGAGCAGCTGTCGTCACGTGACTGACGACGGGGACCAGCTGACGGCATGTGACCTAGTGACGGCGTTTAAGCGACGGCGTCACTCGTCCCTTGGCGGCAAATTTGAATTTGGCTCCGAAATCAGTTTTTCGCCGATAACTCGGCGGGAATTCATTTTGGAGCGTCGGGAGCAAAAATTTGCCCCCCCTAACCTTCTGACCTACTACGGCCGCACCGGATACGATCCCGAAGACCCGAACCCCCTAGCCACCCCAGGTAGGGGAGAGGATAGGGACAGTGAGCGATAGACACGTGGTCCGAGGGGGATAGGGACAGTGAGTCTTTCCCGGCCACCAGCTTCAGGGGACGTTAGATAGGAGCTTCGAAGCGTACCCCTAACCCCACGGCTTGTCTGTGGACAGACTAGATTGCAGCGGCGCGCACCTCCTCAGGGATACTGTTAGATCGGGGTTTCGAAGTATATACCTAAGTATACCTCCCCTTCCCATGGACTCCTCATCGGAGCCATGTGCAGATAGTGGTAAGTCCACTTTGGCGGAGAAATTAATCGCCTCACAAGTAGTGACTTCAGGCGCAGAAGCTGGTAGTAGTAAGGATGGAGAGAATTCCACGGCTTCATCATACACGATGGTTAAGATCTTGGGCGGGCGGATTTAATATCTGAATGGCGTTCTGTCGCAGCTGTTCACCAAGGCCCAGGCTTTGGAAGCGTCGATTAATAAACTCCGGAGTGACCCCGCGAAAGTTGCTATTCACGAGACCCTCTCGGTGATAAGAGTCCTGCGGGGTTGCAAAGAAGAAATTGCTAAAGCATACAACGCTGCAGCAACTAGGACTAAGGAGGTATACATTAACACAGCTCTAGACCCCCCAAGCAAATCAAATAGTGACGCAGAGACTCAAAGTCCCTGTTGGTGGGACATTATGCCCCAGAACAACATCGGGGTAGGCAGTTTGGACGGTGGTCCCAAGACATGGACAGAGGTGGTCAAGAAGAGGCAGGCTAAGAAGCAAGTTCCACCTACGGAGGGTGCGCCAGCACAAAGTGCGAAGTCAAATTCAAAAAAGGAGAGTACTCGGCCGCGGGTACGAAGTCGCCCTCAAGCGATATTGGTAGGCGTGGAAGCTGAAGAGTTCCCAGCACTCGCTAAGAAAATTCGAGGTGGTGTAGATCGCGGCGTTATTGGTGACAGTGTTGTGGGAATGCGACAGGCAAAATCTGGGGGGCTTCTAATTGAGGTCCGCGGTGATCAAGATAAGTTCGAGGCAGTACGTGCTGAGATCTCCCGCTCAGCGGGCACTGAGTTTAAGGTTCGTGCACTGCAGCAAAATGTATTGGTCGAGGTCAGAGACCTCGATCAATGGACAACCGTTGACGACGTGATTGAAGCCATGGCTACCGCCACTGGTAGTCCGCCTGAGTCGCTTAAGGTTGTCAGCCTCAGGAAGAGGTACGAGGGGACTCAGATGGCCCTGGTTTCGTTGCCGATTGGATCTTCCCGCGGAGTATTGAGCACAGGGCGTCTCCGAGTTGGTATGGTGAGTTGCAGACTCAGAATGGCCGAAGGGAAACCAAGATGTTTCCGCTGTTTCACTCATGGGCACATGGCCAGGGAGTGCAATGGTACAGATAGGTCTGTGTGCTGCAGGCGGTGCGGTGGCACTGGGCACAAGGTAGCCGGCTGCAGTGTGCCTGCCTCGGTGGCTAGTGAATTCGCTAAGTCTCTTGAGACGGCGGATACAAATCGAAATGATTGACCCGAGCAGTGGCTCTCACCGGAGCGCTCCGAATCAATCGAGTACGGGAGTCATCCAGATTAATCTAAATCACTGTTGGGCCGCCCAACAGCTCCTTCAGCAGACAATGGCAGAAAGAGGCATTACAATAGCAACAATATCGGATTATTACCGACCCATGGGGGACTCTGAGCACTGAGCTGAGAGCCTAGACAAGAAGAGCGCCATTTTCATAAGCGGGGCCTCGGACTCGGTTATCCTTGATAAAGGAGCTGGAACGGGTTTCGCCTGGGCAAGTATCAATCATGTAGTTTTCTATAGTTGCTATTGCACTCCCAACTGCACTGTTCAGGAGTTTGATCTCTTCTTGGGCGGACTCGAGGAGTCGATCCGTAACAAACAAGGTACAAATCTCATAGTGGCAGGTGACTTTAACTCGCACTCTGCAGAGTGGGGTTCGGCGTCAATCGACACCAGAGGCTCCATGCTGTCTGACCTCACATCGGCACTGAGGTTCAGTGTCTGCAATGTTGGCACAAGACCGACCTATAGGCGGGTCAATGCAGCCTCGGTGATTGACGTGACCTTTTAGAGAGCCCTTCCCACCTACCACCCACTAGTCAACGACTGGATGGTGGTTGAAGAAGCATATTCGGCTAGTGATCACCAATACATCACGTATAGGGTGTCGGCCGCTGCTTTGCGCACAGTTGCGTCTGGATCAGTGCGTAATCGTGTACCAGGCTGGTCGGTCAGGAAATTAAATCCTGATGCAGCTGCAGTCTTTTGGGAACTGATCGGTCCACCACACCAGCTACCGGAGGGCTCATCTGCGAGCCAGTACGCTGAGAGACTCAACGTCCTCCTCACTACCTCATGCGACGCGGCGATGCCACGCAGGGTAAAGTTCAAAGCTAGAAGATCTGCCCATTGGTGGAATGACAACATTGCCGAGCTGCGCAAGAAGGCCATAGCCACCCGGAGGGTATACCAACGCGTCGGTCGTAGAACGGGCCACAATGTCCGTACTGCCGAGCTGGAGGCATACAAAAAAGCACGCGCAGATCTAAAACTCGCAATTCGAAGAGCTCAAGAGGACAGTTGGTCAGAACTATGTCGGTCAGTAGACTCAGACCCATGGGGAGTTCCCTATCGTCTGGTGACCAAGAGGTTGGGTCGTCGCTCTCCTGCAATGGACCCCGAAGTATTAATGAACGTAGCACGCGGCCTGTTCCCCAGTTCACCACTGATCGATTGGTCGGTCATTCCTGCTGCTGGAGCAGTGCCGGTTGTGGTCCTAGTGAACGAATCTGACGCAGCCCCAAGAGTGCCACTGTTTACAACAGAAGAAGTAACTACGGCTGTTAGTAATTTGCCGTCTGGCAAAGCGCCGGGGCCTGACCTAGTGCCGAATGAGATGATCAAATTGACTTGCAGGAAGTTCCCTCAAACTTTTGTTGGTTGTTATAACGCTTGCTTGGAGGAGGCCGTTTTTCCATCCCGATGGAAGCGCGCCAAATTGGTCCTGCTCCACAAGGGTCAGGGTAAACCAAAAGATGCTCCTTCCAGTTACAGGCCAATTAGCCTCCTAGACGGTGCTGGAAAAGTCTTTGAAAAACTGCTGTTGAACAGGCTAAATAGGCACATTGACTCCGTTGGTGCCCTCAGCAACCTACAGTTTGGATTTAGACGGTCGAGGTCCACCGTGGATGCAATAGATGAAGTCTTAAGGGCAGCCGAGGCTGCTGGTAGTGGCCAAGTGCGGAATAGGGACCTTTGTGTCCTGGTGACAGTTGACGTTAAAAACGCGTTTAACTCTGCGCCCTGGCGGTTGATTGACGCCGCTCTACAGAGATATGCAACACCCGAGTACTTGGTGAAAGTGCTCCGGGATTACATGAGCTCTAGGGAGTTAGAGATAAATGATGACGTTTGTCTTCCGGTCACGCGTGGAGTCCCGCAAGGGTCGGTGTTGGGACCCACGTTGTGGAACTTGTTTTATGATGATGTTCTCCGACTCCCTGTGGGAGGCGGCATCAAATTGGTGGCTTTTGCCGATGACATTGCGATCGTAGCCACAGCCCACAACGCTGATCTCATGGAGGAATTGGTCAACCCAACCCTGGATACTATTGTTGAATGGATGACGAGAAATGGATTACAACTTGCGCCTGACAAGTCGGAGTGTGTGGTGCTGACCAAGAAGCGTGCATATCGGGACCCTGAGCTCTACATCCAAGGCTGCCGAATCAATGTTCAAAAGTCTATCAGATACCTAGGAGTGCAGTTAGACACCAGACTGTCCTTCGGGGTTCACGTCGAGAAGGTGGCTGCAGGCGCGCGGAAGGCCGTTGCAGCGATCGGGAGGCTAATGCCGAATGTAGGTGGGCCGTCGCAGGCAAAACGACGCTTGCTTATGAGTGTCGTACACAGCCGACTGCTGTACGGCGCTCCCGTATGGGCAGAGGGGGTGCAGGGAGTTAAGAAATATAAACATACCCTACTGCAGGCGCAGAGGTGTGCTGCACTAAGGGTAGCAAGGTGCTATAGGACGGTTTCGGACCTGGCAGCTACGGCACTAGCCAGAATGCCTCCGGTATTCCTGCTAGACGCCGATCGGAAGAGCGCCGCTGCAGCAAAGAAGATGGGTGATGGACAAGCAAGATTGGGAGTGAGCGGGATCCTCGAACAGTGGCAAGCGCTGTGGGACTCCACTACTAGTAAGGCGACGTGGACGATCAGACTCATCCCCGACCTTTCGAGGTGGTGGCACAATGGGCCCAGGGAGGTGAGTTTTCACATGGCCCAAGTGCTGACTGGACATGGTTGCTTCCAGAAGTACCTGTGGGAGAGGGAAATAGTAGCCAGTCCAGCGTGTGTTCATTGCGAAGCGGAGAATGACGATGCGGAGCACACAGTTTTCCACTGCCCTTTTTGGGCTCCGGTAAGAACCGAGCTGCTATTGGCCATTGGAAGACCAATAGTGCCGGAGGATGTAATGGAGCTGATGTGCGGGCCGGAGAGGAACCAGATGCCAACAGACCAGATCCGGAGGAGAGCTCTGTTGACGGCAGCCAAGAGGAACGGTGACATATTTTGCTTGATGGTGGAGCGGATAATGGGCCAGAAGGAAGAGATGGAGAGGCAGAGACAACGGATTAGCAGATAGTTAAGTGTATTAGTGTGGGCCGAAGTGCCAAATAGGGTAGTAAGCCCCCAATTATGTACTACGTTGTTTAATATTGTATTCTATGTATAATGTATTGTCCATTTATTGTCATCAATAAACGATGCGGCTAGGGAGGCAGCAATGGGGAAACCTACTTCCCTCCCTGGTTGCGATTCAACCTCGGAAAAAAAAAAAAAAAAAGGTAGGTACAAGGTTAATATTATAACAAATAACTTTTTTTCTCAAAGTATTATTGTATGGTTTAACTTTAACTAATTCTTTACAACTATATTAGTGAGAAAAAAAGTTATTTATGTACTTAAAGAATTAGCCCTTATTGATATCACTCATGGGGTAAGTAACTAATTTTAAATTATGATTTATAGTAGGTTTCAAAAATAATGAATAAAATAATTATTAAATATTTAAAATGTTGTGATAATTTGTTTTTTATATATACACCTACTGAAATTTTTTTCTTCTTACATAATTTAGTATCCAAAAATTATAATGACAGACGATTCCATGGCTGAAAAAAAGGCAATTCAAGAAATTTGGCCTCAAACCACTCAGATTCTCTGTATATTTCATTTTTTACAAGCCGAATGGCGATGGTTGATGTCTTCTAGTAGTAATATATTACCTGTTAACAGGCAACAGTTGATGCAACTTTTTAGAAAAGTATTTAATAATTATTTATGATTTATATTTATATTAAGGAATTCAATTTTTAGGCTGTATACGCAAAGAACCATGAAGAATTTCAAGATGTAGTTAATGAAATTAATCATTTGGAAGGAAATCAATCATTCAAAGATCGCTTTAATGAAAATTTAAAAAGAAGTCAGGAATGGTCAATGAGTTATAGAAATGAAAATCTTATAACTCGTAATAATCAAACCAATAATTATTCAGAGGCAACAATTAGAATTCTGAAAGAAATTATTTTAGAACGTACTAAAGCATATAATGTTGTTGCATTGGTTGAGTTTATTTCAATAATTTGGGATAAATATTTTATTAATCGTTTGTTAGATTTTGCTTACAATAGGAGGAATCAAAAAGACTATGAATTACAATTGACAAAAATGAAATCAGTTGACCCGAATTCTATATTACAGATTGATGAATTTTTATACAAAGTTCCAAGCTCTAAAGATAGCAAAAAGTTTTATGATGTAAATACCATTATTGGGTGGTGTAGTTGTTACAGTGGCAAACAAGGAGGGTTTTGTAAACACCAAGCTTTATTAAAACAATATTATGATATTGAATTTCCAAATAGCCCAGTAACTGATTCAAATGAAAGGCATAAACTTGCCTTATTAGCTCTGGGAATCAGAGATTGCCCTCCAAAACCATTTTTTGAGGTACTTCATTACATATTTTAAATTTATTTTAAATATTAATTTTTTTCAAACACTACTTAATAGGATCTGAATGAGTTGCCAACACCACAAACTTCCATTATGGAAAAAGAAAATTTGAAGACAACTAGAGAAAAAACAAACTTACAGTTATGTTATAAAGATTTTTCAAATAATTTACAAGATGGTGATATTGAAAATGATCCAAATATTAGACCTTCAATACCTCTGAATAATAATCAGTCATTAAATGACAAATTCACAGAGAAATGGGAAGATTTTACTAACTCAATTAATAGACTTGGTGAATTACTACAACAAGATGTATCTGAAACATCAATAAGACATTTATCAGTTTTTACAAAAAAAATTAAAAACATTGATACAACATCTCAAGCTGTAGATTTTATAATAAATAATTCTTCAAGGTATGATTAATGTTTTTTTATGAAAAAATGAAATAGTATAATAGGTAATTGTTTGGTAAAATTATTAGTTCTAAACGAGGAAGAAATATCCGAGTACAACCAACATCTGTGGCTAGAAGAAGAGGAACATATAAAGGTAATCATCGGATTGGTGCTGGTAGACCACCTACAGAAAAGAGTACTGCAGGAAGAAATTCTCTTTTGAATAAAAATAAAAAGAAAGTGGTTAAACGTAAACATAACTTAGTAAAAAGTATCACTAATAATCAAGCAAACGCTAAATGTAAACAAATTTAATAAATATTCAATATATATTTCAGTTTCATGTTCACCTACTTATAATTTTTTATTTGAAATATAAAATAAAATGCTAATAACAAGTTTTGTATTTTTAATAATTTGTTAATAATTTATTGAACTTTTAAAGTGAGTATATAATATATTATGTATTGTATTCCATTGTAATAAAAGGCCCCTTTTTTTTGGGGATAATGAGACTATTGACATACATTGACTATGATGTGAAAAAACTAAATGTTAGTAATAATATTATAAAATAAAATTATTAATTATTAAAAACATTTACCATAATATATTATAATAGTATATTATATTGAAAATTACAATATAATTAATTACCAATGATTTTTAAGTTGTTCAAACTAATTGGTATAGATAAAAATTGTAAATACCTTTCTCTGTATATAATATTTTCACATTATGTTCTCTGTTTATCTTTTTATATTATTCAATTATTATAATATAAATTTATTTTTTTATTTTTTTATAGTTCGTAAATAATACTTGTAAGCTAATAATTGTCATTAAAGCCGTATTTGTATAACATTCTTATCATTAATGGTTAATAAAATATGATAATAAAATAATAATAATAATAATAGCGGCAAATTCAAATTGGACCAATCAGAGCAACCCGGTTCTGAGCGTACCTACATTTGCAAAATACGCAACCGGGTTTCCCCCTATCCGCAACCTGGGGACGCGATCTATACCGTGCGTCCACGGACGCGAAACTCACAGTAGGCAGCTGTGGTTTCGCTAGATAACCAACTTGGGATCAATGGGAATGTTTTGGTATGATAAAGTCTGAAATTACAATATCCCAATTTATTAAAAATTTTAATAATAATTTTATTGATGATTATGAGAACACATTGTGGTTTAATTTCTATAACTACATAGATAATAAAGATAAATTATGTTTATCAATTGATATAATTTCGAATCATCATTTTATGCCATATAGTCTAACTCCACAAAACGATGATACAGATGAAGAATATGAATGTGGAAATATTAATTGTGAAAAAACAATTGCTAATAAAATAAAAAAAATAATCGAAGATGTTAAAAAAACATCGTTAACGTAAAAAAAACAACGACTCGTTGAGGTGCGCCTCTGTATAGGTACTATAATATTATATATAATACTTCGTAAGTATTATATTCGATTTAAATTTTCAATGTTTAAAAAATAATCAGTCTAGCTCCATATAATTATTATTATTATTCAAATCGTGTAATTCCTCTTGTATTAATTTATGTAATTCGTTTAGTGCAAGTTTAATTTCATTATAATTTTTGTTTTTAATAAAACTTAAAATATTTTCGAAACAACAATTACTAATGACACGGAAGTTAAATGATTTTAATTGGTTATATTTTTTGTAATAAACATATTTTGCAACATTTTCGTAACAACAATTATCCAATATTTGATTCCATAATATATTACTAATTTCAGAATCAATATCAATATCACTATTATTAAATATGGGTCTTAGGATTTTACGTTGTTGTTCAATCATATTTAAAAGTGTTTTCATATTTTCCATTTCTATTATTTATATTAGTAAATATTTTTTTTAACATCGAATTATTAAAACAACGAGTTGTTAAAAAACAACGTTAACGTAAAAAAAAACAACGTCAACGAGTTAACGTAAAAAAACAACGTCAACGAGTTAACAACTCGTTTACTCGTTCACTCGTTTACTCGTTAACTCGTTTACTCGTTTACTCGTTAACTTGTTAACTCGTTAACTAAATATATATTAAACAAGTTGTTATTATTTAATAGAAATATTTCTATTAAAAAAAATAAAATATTTAAATAAATTTTTATAATTTTCAATAAATTCTAAACATAAATGACCACATATAGGTGGATCATTATAGTATTGAAATTGGGAAACAGTACAAAAAAGATTATCTTTACCCAAATATTTTAAAAGTTCTTTTGGTGGCTCACCAACTATATGACCAAATGGGTCAAAATATATTTTAAATGTATTGTTTATTTTTTTCCATGCAACCCAATGAGAACCATTTTGAGTAAAATAATTTAAATTAAATACTCCACATTCATTTTCCCATGGTGTTGTAGGTAATTCATTTAACATAAAACACCCTCTATAATTTTTTATTTTATTTCCAAAATAATTTATATCTATATTACTCAATTGATCAATTTTTACTTTATTTTTTTTAATCCAAAACCGTGTATAAATACCTTCAAATTTTTCAATATTATTTCTAAATGTTGTTATTTCAAATTTATTCATTTTTTCAATATTTTTTTTTTTTTTTTTTCAAGCCAGAACCTTGTGATCTAATTTTTTCCATCTCTTTATTATGTCGAATTGTTTCTTGTTCCATTTTTTTTTTTTGTGTTTAGCATCAGTTACTGCAGTATAAAGTGCACTAGCACCTGCAGCCAAAGCACTTACACCTTCAACCACTGCAATAGCTATTGGTAAAAATCCACCTTTTTTAATTTGAACATGTTTAAGTTCTAAACTTGATCCGGTATTATTTTTTTAGCGTTTTTTAATTTTCTTATTTGTTCTGGCTCAAGAATAAATTTATGTTTTCCACTATCAATTTGATTATTTTCAATTAGAATTGATACATCTTTATTATTTTTATGAGCTTTCAATATTTTATTAAATTGTTTTTTATTTAAATTTAGATTCATTTTATAAAACAAAATATTAAATTAAATTAAATTAAATTGAATTCATTCCAAATCGTCTTTTAACATTCATTACATTTTCTGTAAAAATGGCTGCTGTTTTTTCACCTATAGAACTATGAGGATCATAAAATCTTTCCATTGCTTTTTGTTCTAAAATTTTATCAGCAATATGTCTTGTTTTAGTATCTTTATTATCTTTATAAAAATAATCATGTTCTCTCGCAGCTTCATCTAATTTGTTTTTAGGTTTTTTATTTTTTTCTAACTTTGTTCCCGGTCCTAAATAATTATAACCAGGCCAATGCATTTCAGGTAAATTTAAACAATTCAAAAGATAATTAACAATTCCTGAACCTGTAATAATTTTCTTTGGTAAACATGAAACATATGATGATAAATAATCTGCACCGTTAATAGGTATATCAATTAATTTTTCCATTTCTCTAATACAAATATTAAGAATATCAAGTTTTTCATCATGGTAAATATTATTTCCTATACTTTCTTCAATTGATATATACTGTATACGTTTAATTATTTTTTCTTTTGATATTTTCACTTCCTTTGGTAAACAAGTTACATATTTTAGTAAATATTCAATACCTTCAGGAGTATCAATAAGATTTTCCATAATTGATTTAAATAAATGAACAATACCAAGTTTTTCGTTTTTAAAATTATTATTTCCAGCTCTTTCTTCTGAAGAAATAAACTGTAAATTATCTATCACTTGGTTTACATTACTAATATAACGATATTCAATACGATTTTCTGTGTATTTCTTTAAACCCTCCCCTATTTGATTATCTTCAGCTAATATTTCATTATTTTCTTTTTTTTCAATAATTTCATTATCTTCATTATTTTCTTTCTTTTTATTATTTTTTTTCTTATCAGTTGTGTCTGTCATTTCTTTCCAAATCGAACTAATCATAACCTTATATTTTTCACTACTACTTGATTTAGCTCTTTTCGTTGAAGGATCATTGTTTTGATATATAGAATTAGTTTCAAATAATATATTTTTATAAATATTAAATTCATCATCATTATAAAATTGTTTGGGTGTAGGAACTTGATGAGTTAATAATCTCCATAAACCTGGTGTTCCTATATATCTTTTTTCATTTAAAATTATATCATCATTATCAAGATCGATTATATCTTTTCCAATCATATAAATATCATCTTTATCATTAAGATATATTCCAAAAGAATTAGTATCTTTTACAGTTTTTAAATATTTTGATGCAATAGGACCTAAGTTTATAATATTTTTAGGTAATGGAGAATTACTTGTTGAATTTTGACTAGAATATTTTGGAGTTCCAAAAGTCTCTTCTGAACTTGTTAATCGTTTTAATTCTGGATTTCTAGGTTGTATATTTAATTTTTGAATATCTCCTTCAGTTTTAATAGCAACATCTTTAACTGCATTCATTGTTGTATTAACATTTGTTAATGCGTTTATTATTGGTCCAAACTTTTTTTGTTGTTCTTCAAGTACATGTTTTTGTTTTACAATTGTATTTCTAAATCTATCCTGTAAATCTTTTTTAAGATTAATTATTTTATTTACATCTGTAGATTTGTATTGTTTTTTTTCTTTTTTAATATTATCTTCATCTTCATCATCTTTTTCTATAATAACAGTCTCTTTTTCATTAGGTTTTAATAATACTTCTTTAAACCTATTTTGTAATTTATTTTTAGTATTAATTATTGTCTGAATCTTTACATCTGATGTGTTTTTTAAACTATTTCCTACCTTGGAATTGTTTTGTGTTTGATCTTCAAACGAAACATTTTTTTGAATTTTTTTTAAATTCTTTTTGAATTTGTTTAATATCCATTTATTATACAAAAAATTAAATTAAAACATAATCATTCATCGATATATAAAATCGCATTACCTTTATTGTCATAGATTAAATTTTTTATCAAGTCTATTGTTATGAAACCATATGTTTTTATTTTACTTTTTTTATCATATTTTTTACAATAAGTTCTATTAATTTCTTTAAATTTTTCTAAAGATGCATCTTCAGTAATCAAATCGGACCATATTTTTTCAATATAATAATTTCATAAAATATTATATACATATACCTACATATAATTGACGTTCACAGAATATTGAACATAAAACGTGAAGATGATGAAAAATAAATAAATCAACGCATATGACGCTGAGAAACCGAAAATACAAAAAAACTGCTTATAAGTCACAAGTTTACGTGTCGAGAGCACCGAAAAGAAGAACAAAAAAAAAAAAACAGAAGGGACACGTGGTAAGATGGATCACACCGAAAAAATTAAAAAAAAACAATATGAACGTAGTAACGGACCTTCAGTGCTATACACAGAATTTGATAATTATACAATCATTGTAAATCTAGAGACACTGTGCGATAAGTGGATAATTACTATAGCACCAAATTTGATACACAATATTTATAATGAGAATAATACTGATTAAGACTGCGTTTGAGCGAGAACGGTAACTCTTTGGAGATTGTTAAACATAAAATTACACTAATGCTACTACAAGAACAAAATATAGACCGACTTATACCAAATGTATAGAACGATTGCATTTCTTATTAAAATATTATATTATATTAAACGATTTATTATTATTTATTGATAATTTAAGTTTTATTGCTATAGGTGTATTGAATTATTTAACTGCATATTTTTTACATAACACTACGTTATTATATTATATAAACAAACAAACAAAAATGTGTGTTTGTTTATAATGCTATTTTACTCATGTAAGAAATGTGTATTGCTAATTGTAATAATGTAATTTATATAATTAACTTTGGCTGGCTCCACGTGAACATGTTCAATTGGATTATAGGCCATAATATCGAAAAAATAAAAGCGAAAAGAAAAATAGCGAAACTAAAATAGTGAAAAAAATAAAAGCGAAGTTTATATAATTACGAAATCGAAAATAGCGAAAAAATATTATTGTAATAAGTACAAGTATAAAAATATAATACAAAAAAATTCACAAAATTATAGTTACATTTGTAGAGTTAAATTGTAAGCGATACCTTTTAAATAATTAATGTTGTCGTTAATATTGTAAGACAAGGTTAAATTACGTATTTTTTCTGAACAATTTTTATATAATATTTTTTTTTGATGTTTTTTGGCACCAGCAATGAACTGTTCCAGTTTAATGTCCTCTAAATGTTGCTGATCTTTCAACACATCGATAAATGTAAATAATGTTGGATGATATGCACCTTAAATTATAAACAAATTATAAATATTATAAATTATATTGAATTAAAATACAAATTATATACTAACCAAGCAATGAACTGAAACCTCTATGCCAACCTTCTACTGCATTGTTAGCCCTTGGTAATAAAGTGCTTGCCGATTCGTAACAATTCCATAAACTAATTGAATACTTTGGTGATCTACGACCTTTTCTTCGACCCATTGGGCGGCCTATCCAGGTGTCTTCAATGTAGTCAATAAGTGGTTGTAAAATGTTTTCGTTATCTGTGTAGTATGGTGAATCTATTAATTCTTCAAACGCATCTATCACATGATTTTCTGGTACATATTCTAATGCTAATAAGAGCCGTATCTGTATTGAAAATGTCGAATCTGATATATATTTTTGGGAACTATATTGAATTTGTTGTATTTTACGCCAAATACATTGGGAAAAATGGAAATGGCATCCTTTTTGTTTTACATTAGGAAATACTTCTTTAAATGCATTAATTGATGCCATTTCAAAATCTGACATAATTGATGTTGGCGATAAAGTTGATTTAATTGTTTTTAATTGTTTAAGGAGGTGTACATATGTTTTTTGTGATTTGTTTGGTAATAAAGCGTAAACAGTTGGTATCAACGAATTTGTTGTTAATACGTGTATTGTGTAAATTTGAGTGAAAAGTGTCGGAGTGCACTTAAATGTACTGTCGTATCACCCGTATTGGATAATACGTGGTAAACCTACTATACGCCTCAACCTCGTATTCTCTAGCTAATGACACTCTCTAAAATTAATTAGAATGGCACTGTTAACTTGGAGGTACGATGGTGTGCGTTTGTCAATCTTAAGTTCTTTCCAATCTAGTAAAATGACTCAAAGATTACATATACCTTGGCACTATTCAGTTTAATAAAACCTCATTGACACATAGTAAGTATATCCCGGCGCTGCTCCTATTAAATGTAAGAACTTAAGAATGACTTAAATAATTGTAACTCGGGTTTTCAAGTCGGAAACACTTTTATTATATTTAAATAACAAACACAAAATAAAATATACTTGGCGAATTCAGATCACCTAGCCCGTACTACGATCGACGTTTCACACGTACGACCACAGTACCTACGTCCTCGCCGATTCACTCAGCGACAACGAGACTCCTCTTGCCTGCGCGTGCGGCGGTGTTATATAGTAATCTTATCGCTGTCTCAGCACATATGCTTCACTGACCTAAGTCAATAGTTTACAATTTAAAATGTTCCCACCTCTATTACATGTATGAAATAATATTTTGACGACTGTCTACAATATAAGACAGTACCATCAACGAACCAATTATTATATTTTTCCATTAATTCTAGATTCTCTTTTGGTAAAAAATATTAAAATACGTTCATCTGATGGGCCGCTATCGTACTGCATGAATTGCCTTCCATCTTTAGTTAAAGTATACCTTTCGGGTATTTGGAGGTTAAAAAGTGACTAAGGATTCGGCGGTGCACAATCATTACGTTGGCGTACTCTTCTTAACGTGTGTTTTAAATTAGATATTTCGGGTAATGCACCTGATATCACTGGATTTAATTGTGATGAAGCGAATATTTGTTGAGGGTTATCTTGTGACGATAGTGCTTGGGATTTCATTCTCTCGACTTCTTTTTTTACTTCTAATTTGCATATATCTGGAACGTGATTATGCTCTGAAGGCTCTTTTTTAATTTTTTTTTTTTTTTTTTTATTGATCTATTTTTTATTTAACAACCCGGCATCATAGGCCATTAGTTACAGTTTTTTTTTTGTGCTACTTTTGTTACATGCTTATATTTATATTTACATTTGCATTATATTTGTCCTATTAAATTAATCGATTTTAAAAAATTAAGTATTTTCCTGTTTTGAGCGGGATCCGGACCGAGTAGTGAATCGAGTGTTTCTGTAATGTTGAAGTTTATTCGTTCCTGTTGATAGAGTTGGCATTCCGTTAGTATGTGTTTGATGGTGAGGGGGGTCCCACATCCTTCACATGTGGGAGGTTCTTCTTTTGACATGAGGTATCCATGTGTTAATCTGGAGTGCCCAATTCTGAGTCGGTTTATAGTGGTTTCTTCTTTTCGGTTAAATTCATGATTTTCCCAACTGAATGTTGTTCTTTTTATCTGGTTTAGTTTTGTGTCTTGATCGTTCCAGAGTAGATGCCATCTTTTCCTTATTTGTGTTTTAACTGCCTTTTTGATGTCGTCATATGAGGAGATGTTTAGTTTGGTTGTGTTTTTGTTGGATGCGGCAAGTTTAGCGTATTTGTCCGCTATTTCTTTTTTAATTATATTATCACTTGTAGTTGTTAATCGACCCTTACATTTCATATCTATAAATTTCCAATACTTCGATTCCTTGTACATTTTTTCCTCTCTATATGTATAACTATTATAAACTAGTAAAAGCTTATTTTTATTAGATTTAATGAATTCCATAACTTAAAAAATCAAATTTAAAAAATACAGTTCATATAAGAAATATAATAATAAGCACAAAACTTTGCAAACGATTGTCACGTTGTCGAACGTCGTACAAAATTATTTGATGTCCATATAGTATAGGTTACATTATGTACACTATTCACGAAAAAACGACAAAAGCGATAACGGATATTACCTTGAGTCACAATAATAATGACAGACTAATAAAGATTACATTATTCCCTAATCTCTGTTTAATATTTACTATAAAAACAAGAGTTTTCCCCTAAACATTCGATATATTATTTTTCGCTATAATTAAGTTTCGTTATTTTTATTTTCGATATTTTTAATTCGCTATTCTTCTATTCGCTATTTTGGCCGGTTACCGTTCAATGGGGCCCATTATCTTCTTGAAGAATAAGTGAAAATAAAAATAAAAACTCCCTAGTAATTTTTCATTTTCAAAAACATAACAAAATAAAAACTACTGTTAATAGTAACAAATAAAACAGGCCTTACAAATAATGAAAAATAACACTACATCTATACACGATATAGGAATCGATAAATTTTTCGTACACTTTTGGAGCAATTTGCAATTGCAGATTTATAAAAAGTATTACAATGCAATTAATGTGCCAACAATATCATTTGACGCAACAGGCGGATGTTGTAAAAGACTAAAGAGATACAACAATAGTGTCAGTGGTAATATTTTTTTATATGAAGGTGTAATGGAATTAAATAACAGGACATTCACTGCTCTTTCAATGCTATCTGCACAGCATGATAATATGGATATATAGATATATATATATATGGATATCCATAAGCGTGTGGTTGAAACGGTGGTTAAGATGTAATGTTAAACCTCCTAAAGTGGTTATAAGTGATCAATCATTAGCGTTGATGTCCGGTTTAACACAAGCTTTCACTCAATTTACTTCACTTGAGTCGTATTTAAATGTGTGTTACAAATTAACTGTTCAAAAAAAAGAAGTTGAAATACCCACATGTTTTTTGAGAAATGACGTAAATCATTTTATAAAACTTGTCACACAATGGGGTCCAGTAAAAAATTCAAAATACCCGAGTACAAAACAAATTATTACCCGGGTCATGGGATTGCTTGTAGTATGCACATCAATTGAAGAAGCCGAACCTATACTTGAATCACTATTCGTTATAATTTTAAGCAAGTTCGACGGAAATATGGAAAATTTAGATACTTTTACCCCTTGCTATACAGCTAAACGCTATTTGCATTCTATGATTTCAACTAGTGTCTTAGAAATAATCAACATTGACGAAAACTCCCAAGTATTAAATAGTGCAGCAGATAACATAAATATAGATGAGGACTATACTTCAGATTATACTAATACGTTCCAAGATTGGGCACAACAAATTGCGAACAGATCGAGAGCTAAAGTCGAGTCTGTGACAATGCACAGTATATTCCTGAACTTGAACCTATAATTGTTAGAACATTCAAATTATTTCCCTGTTGGTCAGGTATAATGAGGCAGACTTTTGGTTTTGGAGAAAAAATTGCTTCAAGTAGCAGCATAGAATGTAATTTCAACCACATTAAACACCGCGTCTTCAAAAATGATCATCTTCCAGTAAGAGTTGATACATTTTTAGAACAACTTACGTCCTATTATAGTGGTGATCACCTTTTAATTCAAGGAGAGTTAAATAGTGATTTATGTATAGAAAATGGCAGAGGAGTTGGTGATGATAAAAATAATTTTAATAATAATGATTCCATAAATGACTATTACGAGAATGCTGAATTGAACCAGGAAGATTATATTGACATAAACAATGATAGTAATATGAGCCACGACATTCACAGCGACAACGAAAAAAACATGAATGATGTTTACAACAACTATAATGAAGAAGACGATATTCTACTTGTTGACCATCGAGGACTATTACTTAATGATTATACGGATGGAAGTTCACTCAAAAGAAATTATGAAATGCTTGGTAATACTAAACAATATACAACAAGAAGATCATCTACAAATGAAATCACAAAGATCTCGAGTGGAACTAATATTTTGCATAGTGAACCACAGGCTTCTTCTCACCAGTCAAATATAACTTTAAATACACCATGTTTAATGTGTCGAAATGGTGATTTACCCACTGGTGTGCACAAGTGTTTTGAATGTGGAAAACCAGTTCATCTTTTTGGCTGCTCAGTTGGAATACCTAATACAGAAGAAGGTTTTGGAGAATACAAAATTTGTCTTGAGTGCAATAAAAAAAAATTGATTTTGGCAGAATCCAACGCAACAGAAATGTGGTGTAGAAAAGGAAAACGTAAAAATTCTCAAACAATTCGAACTTCTAGATCTTACTTAGTTCAACAACCCGGGTTTGAGCTATTAGATCTGAATAAAAAAGGCAATATCATTTCTGTAGTTCTATTAAAAAACGGTAATGGTCTAAATACTAAACCAATTTTATTTCCTGGCTTGGGAAAATTTGTGATTACTAATACTTGCTCAGTGGATTCAATTTTATCCTTATTAGCTACATCAGCAGCCGATAGCCCAACATTTAGAGAGTATTTGGTTGGAACATCGACGTTGAACATGACTTCTAATATTGCTTTACAGATGATCAAAGAAAAAAAAAAAAGAAATTTATCTTAATAGACTTAAACTAATTTTACATCATTTTGAAAATAGAGTTAAATCTATTGTAGCTGATCTTAAAACCATTGACGTTATTGGTACTGCTTCATGCATTGTAGACAAAATGATGAATGAATTGCCTTCGTTGATTCGAAAGAGTAGATGTGAAAACGACCAATGCTTGATTCCTCTAGTGGAAACTTCATCATCAAAATTATCTCTAAATGTGTACGAAAATGAGTTTCAAATACAACGTGAAATTGAAGATAATTTGAAAACTTACAAAGAAACCTGTTCCTACTGTGGAAATGAAAGGAATGTATCAACAGAAATTACAACTCATTTATTTATCGAAATCACATCACTTCCTAAACGTAAGTTTCTAAATTATGCTAATTTGATAAATATTTTATTATTGAGGTAGACCCTTAATATATTTCTATAAAAGTTTAAGGTATACCTATCCATTTTTTTTAAATTTGAAAATACTGATTTTAACTTCCTTGTAAATAATTATTAACTTGAAAATTTCCTCAAACCATAATTTCTTTTAATAAAAAGTTATTTGAACTTTGTTTGAGTTATGTTTGAACACAGCATTTTTAGTCCATTTTAATTTTCAGTTTTTTTAAATAACAAAAACTCAATTTAACTTTATATTTTATAGTCTTTCAAAAACCTGATATATGAAGCAGAATATTTGTTGTTTTAATAAGTTTTGACTATAAAACATTTTAAATGTATGAAATTAAAAATATTTAATTATGTATTCAAGTTACAACCAAAAAAAAATTATTAATATTTTTAATCATGATTATTATTCTGTTCGCAGATCTAGAAGCATCAACAAGTATTAACATAGACACAATTCCACTTGATTTAGTTAAACAAAACTATGCTAAAGCCATTTGTTGGTCATTACTGGACCTCACTACAAATATAGTTTTGAATTCTAATGTTTATAAGCTAAGAGGAGCGGTAATCTTTCATGGTGGTGAAAGATGTGGGTTACGAGCAGCTACTGGACACTATACAACTTGTGCATTAAGGAGCAATGAAAAGTGGGAGTCGTATGATGACACAAAACTCAATGTAACTAGTTCTTCAACAACAAGGAAAAAAGATATGAACTTTTATTTTACAGCCTTTAACAAAACATGTATTATGTACCAATCTTTTATTAATGTTTTATTCTAAATTATATTAGATATATTTAATTATATTATGTACTATAGGCCACAAAAAGCTTAAATTTTATTTTATGTTATTTACAAAACAACAGATCACAATAAAAAAATAATTTTAAAAAAGATAGAATTTTCCTGCCTTATACCTTAACATATAATGTTAAGATGACAAACTTACAATAATTATATTAGTTTATAAAACTTAATTTTCGAAACAAAAAATCGGGAACTCGCTCTGCTGTACAATACTGTAGAGTGGAGTGGTCAGTATATAATGGATGTGTTAAATTTGAATGCAATTATAGGTATCATTGTATACGAAAAACGATTCTGAACGGAGATGATTTGTCAGTCTAGGATTTTATTTATTTATTTTATATCTAAAACCGTTTGATAGTAAATCGTTATTTTACTCGTGAATTTTAAAATTTTTACTAAAGTAAAAATTAGACTTGTAAAAATTTTGTTATTTACTTATGCATAATTTTTTTTTATAATTACTGTAAGCAAAACTTATGGGCAACCTAGTATGCTGGCATCCAAAAAGAAATGCGTTTTCAAATTTGTACAAATTATATAACAAATTTTGGTACCAGTTTTGAGTGTCTAAGATTAAAATTATGAATGCGGATGCTGGAGTAACGTTACGCTGGCATCCGAAATGAAAATGTGTTTTTCCACTCTTTGGGAGGGTGTACAAATTTTCAAATTGCGTTTACAAATCTGTACAAATTATATAACAAATTTTGGTACCAGTTTTGAGTGTCTAAGATTAAAATCATGAATGCGGATGCTGGAGTAACGTTACGCTGGCATCCGAAATGAAAATGCGTTTTTCCACCCTTCGGGAGGGTGTACAAATTTTCAAATTGCGATTACAAATTTGTACAAATTATATAACAAATTTTGGTACCAGTTTTGAGTGGTTATTTTAACCTGCGGATGCCAGCGTAACTCATCTTGTTTCCTTTATATAATTTGTAAAAGGATATATACCCGTTGATATACAACATAAATAAATAAATAAAAAAATTAAAATTAAAATAACTGTGTATAGTAACAAAAAAACAGACTAACCAAAAGTAATTTCATCATCTGATTCACACACAGGTTGTTTTTTTTCGGGACCATAAATATTAGCTGCAGTCATACAGTTCCGCATTTGTACATTAGGAGCAAACTTTAAACAACATCCTGATCGCCTTGACGCGGACACGATGATTGCTTCAAAGTTTATCGTGGTCCGGTCGAAGTGTTTGGTTAGGATTGAGGTGATGAAAAAAACACAACACAAACACTTTAAGAATGTCACAAATTATGTATTATAATATTGCGACCAAAATATAATAATACATGACGTGCCGCTTGGGCAGATGAGTTTAACGTCGGACGATATGTTATCGGTCCGACGGTCCGATGGTGGATCTCGAATCGCCTTTTCCGCCGACCGTTGTACGTCTTACGCGACACAGTCCCCCCGTCCCGCCTTGCCGTTACCGGCTCGGTGGGAGAGTCAACCCGGTCGCTCTGCTTGCATCCCGTGGTGGTGGTTGGAGATAAGATAGACTGGTCGCTATAGTGCTTGTACATTGTACTTGCTACTAACGCGGGCCGCGTCATCCTTACTGTTTGATCAGCTAATAAGATGCCATTTAAAGTGTCAGTAATTAGCCGATTCCTGGTTTTTGTTTTAACCGAATTTACTTTGCTAAATTTCCTCTCGCAGTCTGCATTAGTATGTGAAATGGACATAGCTGATAATGCAAATTTTTGGAAGAACTGAAAACATCTTTTCATAATTTTCATCTGTATAATGATAAAGCTAAAACAAATAAACAAATATGCTTAAATAATTAATTGTATAATTACATAATTTTTATATAACTTTATGCCAAAATTTATCTGGTTCAGATGTTTTAGTTATTTCAGCTGGAATACAATCAATGAAGTTAGGCAGACGTCTCCATTCATCATCTAATTTTTGAAGATTTGAATCGCTAAAATCTGTGCATCTAGGCAGTAATGTAACCAGTGGCATAAGTGAAGATGTAGTATCTCTTTAGATTTGTGAGAGCGCTCTTATTGGGTCTAGTACAGGGAGACTAGATAAAATCGGATTGTTAAAGTCATACCTATCTTTTATTTCTTTACACGCTATCATTATGAAATGTTGACACCTTTGTTGAAAATCTATTAGATTAGGGTCTACTCCTACGGATAGTCTAGGTCTATCTAATTGTTTCATAACGTTGATACCTAAATACATCTGTAAAAAAATAACAAAAATAAAACTTTATGAAATAAAAATAAAATTTAATAAATACATTTCATTTACAAACCTGTTTTAATGGAAGAAAATTATTTTTTTCTAATGGATTTATATCTCCTAATTCAGTTTTACATACATAATCTCTAGTCATGTAAATTAGTAACAAATCTTTAAAGGCCGTTGACATTTTTTTATGTAAATAAATAACCACAACTTTAGATGATTGGAAATATTCATTCATTTCAGTGAATTTTGGTAGAATCCGTAGAAGAAACAAGAAGTAAGCTTTAAGGTAACAATCATTTAATCCTAGATGTATATGCTCAGCTGCTCTCAAATGCTCACTAATCCATTTATCATCAAAGAAAAGCCTTATGCATCCCACTGCTTCACAATGCGTTCAACAACAGCAATAAGAGAAAGCCAACGAGTTTGACTAGGATGCAATATTTTGTGGACATCAAGATCAAGAAATTTTTAGCTCGAAATACATCATTACTATCTAGTTTAGCCAATATTTATATTGTGAGTTTAAGCACCATTCATCTCTAAACTTTTAATCACGATGACCCTGCTCCTCCGATTTGAGTGCATCACCACCTCGTTGCAATCTTTTCTTCTTTGGAGTCATATTTGAAGTTTCTGCATTCATAGGACTGTCTTCGTCGCTGGTTAATCCCATAGTCAGTAAGTTAAATTAATAAAATAATAATAAACTAAACGGAATTAATATTTGAATTTTTTATATCAAGGTTTAATAATATATTTAACTATGCGGTATCATTTGGTAACTGTGGTAACCTTGATTATTTTCCACTACGAAATATTATATATATCAGCTGTGGATCTAACATTGATAAATGATAGTGATAACGTGATTTTACAAACATGAAATGTACCACAGTTACCCGTAAGGTTATTATATACTACTGTTGGGTAGAAATATAATACCATATTTTGGTTCTCTGTGGGATAAAAAAATAATTATGGTACATCTGGCAAGGCTGCGATGTTGGTTATTGGTAATAGAGATAACTATAGTGCGCCACAATGCCACATATTTGGTCGCTCCGTTTTATCTCATTACACGGTGGAAAATCAAATTTGATGACCATAACCTCGATTACCACTGAAGCTAAAGAAACATATGCTATACCGGAAGAACTACAACAAATAAGTTTCCATAAAGAGGTGAGTACAACTGCTATTTATAATATGGTGAAAAGCTCATTAAAAAAATTTAAATCAAAAAAATAAAATTGAAAAAAAAAAACTAAAGTTATAGACATAGATTAAAATAATTTCCAAACTAAGATAGATTATTTAACTAACAATCAAAAATATGAAATAAATAAACTAATTGAAAATAACAAGTCAATTTTTGCAAATGATAAATATGACATTGGTACAGTGAGAGAATATGAGGCACGTATTGATTTATCAGTTGACAAATACTGTAGTAAAAGACCTTATAGATGCTCCACAGAAGATCAAAATGAGATAGAAGAACAAATATCTAAATTACTTGAAAAAAAAACTCATTGAAGTATCTTACAGTCCATTTGCTGCACCAGTAACATTAGCATTTAAGAAAGAGGATAAGAGAAGATCCAGACTATGCATAGATTTCAGAGACTTGAACAAAATAGTAGTACCTCAAGCACAACCATTCCCACTGATTGATGACCTAGTGATAAAGACAAGGAACTGCAATTACTTTTCGGCATTAAATATAAATTCTGCATTTTGGTCTATTCCACTCAGAATGTAGGATAGAAAAAAGACTGCGTTCGTGACACAGGAAGGACATTTTCAATGGACTTGTCTGCCGTTTGGTTTAAAAACATCACCTGCAATTTTTCAGAGAGTCTTAAGTACAATATTGAGGAAATATAAACTTACAGAATTTGCTGTTAACTATATTGATGATATTCTTATATTCTCTAAGAATTTTTATGACTACATTAGTCACTTAACACAGTTATTAAAGGCAATACAAACTGAAGGTTTCAGATAAAAATTTACAAAATGTACATTTGCAACAGACTCGGTGAAATATCTTGGTCATGTTATACAGAATAACTCTATCAGGACTGTAAAAGATAATCTAGTTTCAATAAATAATTTTCCTGTTCCAAAAACAATAAAATATAAGGCAACTTCTGGGTAAAATAAATTTTTATTATGAATACATACCAAAGAGTGCAATTATCCTAGATCCATTGCACAATTTACTTAGAAAAAACCAAAGATATATCTGGTCAATAAAGTGTCAAAAAGCTTTTGAAAATATAAAAAAACTACTGTGCTCACAACCAGTTTTAGAAATGTTTGATAAAGATTTTACAAATCAGGATTTACAAGGATGCATCTTTGGAAGGCGTAGGAGCCATTCTCAAGCAAACACAGCTTAATGGAAAAGAAAAACCGGTGGCATACTTCTCAAAAAAACTGAATACAGCCCAAAAAAAAAGAAAGTAATATATTTGGAATGTTTAGCTATCAAAGAAGTTCGTGCCACAATCAGAGAATATGTCCTGAGGCAAACCTCGACGTGCCACGAATCGGTCGAAGGCCGCCAAGAATGCATTAGTAGACAGCTCGGACACGACTTCCAGGTGGACGGCCTTAGTCGCCATGCACACAAACACCGCCACGTAAATTTTGTATTGTCGAGCCTTACGTAAACGACACTCACGCATAGACATTGGCCCAGCGTAGTCGATGCCTACCCGAGTGAATGGGCGACACATTTGGACGCGAGAGCTTGGTAAGTCTGCCATCACGGGGTGGGGACTTTGGGCGAGGGTTCGTACACAGATCGTGCATTGACCGATGACGCGGCGGATTACCGCCCTCACCGATATTATCCAAAATTGTCGTGTGATCAATGACGTAATTACCCGAGGCCCTGAGTGACATGTTACCAGGTGCCAATGTCGCGCGATTAGTACCGATAAGTGGGACTCCTTAGCCAACAAGATAGGCTGTTTCTCGGCACTGGTCAGATTAGAACGTGTCAAGCGGCCTCCGACGCAGACAACGCAACGTGCATCAACGAAGGGCCTCAGACCAGCCAATGACCGTTGGGCAGGGCGGCCGCTAGCTAAGTCTGCGTGGAGCTTAGACAACCAACAGGTTTGAGACTGTTTGACCAAGACGATGAGCGATTCTCCAAGTTCCTCACGCGTCAGATAATCTGTTGTGTATGTCTGTTGTCGGGCTCGGCCTGCGAAGCGACGCATCCAGGCAACCACTCTGACCATGTTATGATATGACGAAAATCGACTAAACCACTCGGCCTCCGGTTCAACTTGGACAGATACAGAGAGAACTTTCGTTTCCGGGAGCTGCTCAATAGGTACCACTGCGATCGACATATCCCAAGTGTCAACAGCGTCCTTCAGGAAGGCAGGACCCGACCAGTATACCAAGTGCTCGACCAAGTCAGAGGGCAATAAACCTCTGGAGGCACAATCCGCCGGATTTTCGGCCGACCGGACGTAACCCCAATGGCAGGATGGTACTAACTGACGGACTAAATGCACTCGGTTCGAGACAAATACTTTGAAACAAGTGTGAGGGTTGATCAACCATGAGAGCACTATCTGGGAGTCAGACCACGCAAAGATCCCGTCCACGCGGAGTCGATCACCAAAAACTGTGAGGAGTCGAGTCAACCAGCGGGCCAGAAGCACGGCCGCACATAGCTCTAATCTTGGGATAGTGCTGATCTTCATGGGCGCCGTTTTTGTTTTGGAGCCGAGAAGATGCACTGTGACCAGTCCTGACAGTGACGTTATTCGCAAGTATGCTACCGCTGCATACCCTCGTTCCGAGGCATCGCAAAATCCACATAATTCTACGTGGGACTCACTAGTTGTCAATACAAAACGCGGAATTTCGATTTTTGATAGTACTGGGAGGTCATTAAGTAAGAGGTTCCAAGTTCGAACCAGGTCATCTGGTAGAGGATCGTCCCATCCCTGTTCAGTTTTCCAGATTTGCTGCATGATATGTTTTGCTTGAAAAATTACAGGCGCAAGGAACCCTATCGGGTCAAAGATTGTGGCAATGGTGGACAATACCGATCGTTTGGTGATAACCTTGGACACCTTTAGACAATAGTGTTAATCACAATACCTCCATTAGAATGGACTTGACGCGCACAACACGCGTACCTATTATATTACGTTACAGCTTAAGCAGCACTGCGGCTTAGGAACAAAACAATGTCACACCCGACCAGTAAATCGAGTATACCCGTAATTGCATACACCCAGAAACGCTAACAAACTTTAAATTGTGGAGTAACCACGCTCTGCTACCAATGTGTTGGCACCGTCGGGCTCCTACGGAACCGGCGGTCGACCTAACGATTCTGGGGACGAGAGTATAGGGAACAAGGTAACACCGTTAAATCCCGTTTATGTATATATAAGAATAACACTGAATGCTGTGTAGTAATTAAACATGTGCATGTAGCAGTATAATGTAATATCAATAAACACAAATACCCTTTACGAGTACGACAGTATAAAAGCTGGCGGAGACGTCTCCCCGTTTCAGCATACAATAATTATAAGTGATTAGCTCACACTAGAGCGCAATCATAATAACAATAACAAAATATAATGATATAATCGACAACGATACCAGCGACGACGACGATGGATGCGCGGAGTGGAGTGGCGGCAGCTGTTACGGCTGCGGCAGTGCGTTGCTGAATTATCAACGCGCGGCGACGACGGAGACGACCTTGGCCTACAGCCGATCTATTTGAGTCGCGGCGGCGGCGGCTGCAACGGCTGTGTACGGAGACGTGTTCGCCGGCAGCGGCGACGATAGTGGTCGCTAAGGCGTGCAAAACGAACGGCACTTTCGGTCGGCACGGTACACGACGGCCCGAGTTGAGGCCCACAGACGGACACCCGTGTAGTCGTTGGTTGCACAAAGATTTCCAGCGGAGGCACCACAATTCACTTAATACTTAGGCAGTGCGGCGGAAACGCACAAAAGACGTGAGCTCAACCGCCCGCTCTACGAAGCACACTAAAAGAAATAGACCGGTTGCGTGAGCGCGCAACTTGCACTCAACGGCGGCGGCTCGTATCGGCATTTATACGCCACCGGCGCGCGCACCCGGTACGGCTGGTCAAGCCGGGTATACACGCAATGACGCTGAGTTTCGAACACTATAAGTATAAGTACTATAAGTACTATAAGTTATAAGTATTAAGTATATTAGTATAAGTACTTATACTTACTTGGGTAATCCAAGTAAGTATAATCAATCAAAGTTGGATTAATTATACTAGGCACGGAATTTTTTTTTTAAACACTAGTCTTACGATCAGTGGTCCTTGAAATTTCATAATCCAAATCTGGATCAAAATTAAGACCACATACGTTTGAACTAACTTTCTTTTCAAATGATGGATTAAACTGTCTTAAATACGAAATCCACTTATTACCAATATCTCCTTTAGGAAATCTGAAAAATAGTAAGGACCATTATTCATGTTAATTTTTATTTATAAATTAAATTTATTAAAATACCTGTGAAACCTGATATTTAGACCAGCTCTTGACTTACAGCCATATACACAGCATTTGTTAACCATTTTGTGTTTAAACTTGCGCGAGAACAAGAATATTATTATTATAATACGAAGTACGAAAAAAATATAGAATAATAATTAATAACCATTAAGTATTAACCAAATACAATACAACAATCAACATCGACGACGAACGAAATAAAAAGGCTACCACTGTGTTAAATTTGATTTCAATCGTATAAAATCATTGTTTATAAAAAACGATTCTGAGTGAAGATATCTGTCAGCCTATATTACTGAGTATATTTTTTAATGTAATTGCTAATTTATTTTTCTTTTAAATATTAGTAATACACTGATATAGTTGGTTGAAAATATTTTCCCGAAATCATTGCAATTTCAAAACTGCATCGTGTGAATTAAATATAGTAATATACTTCAGGGGTGTCAGCATGATTTTTCAATGGGGGGGGGGGCTTGAAAATTAGTTACAATTTTATTTTTATTTTGTTCAGTCTAATAATTTCAGACGTTTATTTGTGGTATTTTAAAATGTTTGTAACTTTTCAACTTTTCTGGTAGAAAAAATGCTCTGATCATAAGCTTCGATGCCCAGTGTATGTTTTTGGAAGCAAATTGGATCTAGTTGGTACTTTTAGGAGGTCGAAATTGAAAATGCTCAGTGCTTTTAAAAATAATTGGAGAAAAAAAATGAAAATTTATTTAAATTGTTTGGTAACAAGCTTGGTTATATCATTCTCACTTGGATTGTATTTGATTAATTACAATTTTTTTTCTATAAATGTCAATGAAATATTATTTATCCGGTCAAAAAGATTAAAAATGTAGGTAATACGTTAGTTTTTAATTATAGCTAAAATATTAACGATACAATCATGGTTATTTTTTATAAGCATTTAAAGTTCAAATTTCATCAAAACCACAGTTAATTTGTAGTTCAAAACTTATAAAATATAAAATATGTATAGGTAAGGCTAGACAATTTAATACAAGGTCTTTCATACAAGTAGTTCATACTTTTACCGAAAAATTACCGATAATTTATGAAAATTGGTATGCAAATACAATGTTTTTTCAAAAATGAATTCATTCTGGTAAGACATATATGAAATTTACGTCTTGCTTACTATAGTTGACAAATTAAACTTTATTAATATTTTTTTGAAATTACAAAAACATAATTACCATTAATCCTTAACTATAAAAATAAATTAAATTTTAAATTAAATTTTATAAATTTGAACTACGAAATAATTTTAAAAATGTCGATGATTTTGATAAATATTGTCAAAATTTGAAGTTTAAAAAATGATTATAAAAAAAAATTGTACAGATGTATCTTTATTATTTTTGAACTGCTATTATATCAACTTATGAGGAACCTTGAATTAAATATTTATGCTTTTTGATCAAGTGAAATTTTATTTTACGATATTTATAAAACAAAATCAAATTTCAAAATTTGTTTTTATGACTACATAAGAAGCTAAAAAAAATGGAAATATTTCAAAGTACCTGTTTCCTAACTTAACCTCGTAAGTATAACAAATTATATTAATACTTATTTTTTGATATTTCTAGCCCCCTAGATTTTTAATCAATTTGTTTACGCCTATGCCTAGGTTAGGTACTAGGTGCAATTTTAACTTTTAAAATTTCGTAGTGCAAAACGCCATACACACAATTTCTGTTTTTCCTGGGGGGGGGCTATAGCATGCTATAACATGTATTGGAATTTGGAGGGGTTTAGCACCTATTTTCACCTATGCACATCTCTGAAAGAACGGCTAAACTCTGACGCGGTCCCGCGCAGTGGCTTCTCAATAAAACCGCCAATCGACGACGGACGACGCCAGCACGCGACATCCGCGCCTGGAAACGTCGACCGGCCGTCCAGCGAACCGGCTCTGACAAGTTACTTGTTTTCTACTCAGCGACCCGGACAGATCGCTACCCACATCCCCGCGGGTACAAGAACGACTTTCTTAGTTAATTCTTAGACATTAGGTAGGAACGCAAGAGCGCGAGAGGGTCTTACCACGAACGCCCAGCACCACCACCCGCCAACGACAACACGCGATTACCCGGGACAAAAATACCACATAATCAGACAACCGCCGCCTTCTCTAATTGCAGTAGTGCACCGAAAAACGCACACACGCGCATCCGCCAAAACACTCTGCGAAGACCGGTTACTGTGATCGCCCGGCAAGCGCAACAATAACAATAACAACCCACTGACCTACATTCCGTACGCAAATAAACACCGATAAGCGGTCAACACAGCTGATCAAAGGAACGCGATACCCGTTCCAACGACAACAGCCACATTTTATAATTTCTCGTCAACAACACCGACAAAAACAACCGGAAGTCATGCCGGGAAAATATATTTTTGAATTGACCACCGCGGAATTACGCTATGAATGCAGGCAGCGCGGGTTATCGGATACGGGCGCGAAGGATGATCTCGAAATCCGACTGACACAACATTTCGTGGACATGAACCTTCAGGCCAACGAAATCCGGTTCCCGCCTATGGAACCCACTGGGCTGACAGGACATAACTCGGCCACAGGTCAGGTACCCGACGCCGGACAAACCGCGCACAACATATGGATCGAGTCATCACACGCCCAAACTCCGAACACCACCAACAACACAACACCCACACCCTCACCCACACCCAAACAAACTATGGAAACGATCCAAACGGGTCGTTCTATAATTAAGGAAGTACGGCAAGCGGCGGAAAACTCGACGCATGGGCACAGTCTGGAATCGCGAGTGACCATGCTCGAATACTGGATGGGCCGCTTCGGCGCTGACCAAAGCCGCATTGCCGAGATCAGCCATACAGCAGCTCAGCTACCCCGACAGCAGATTGCAGCTCAGCAGACACCAGCCAGCTCCGGAGTGGTTTAACGATTGTATGCCCTTTGTTATTAACTATTTGTATTATATTGTGTCACTATAATATAGTTCAATATTGTAGACATAGAATTAAAAGTATATTTATTCTAGAAACGTGTTATGTTCACCTGGGAATCGTCCAGATGAGGTGAGGCGGCCGGCGTTAACTGGTATAAGTGCGCACGTGGCCAACAAGTATTCATGAAAGATATTAAAAAAAATAGTTAAACTTAACTCCGCCAACTTACCCTGACTTCCTGTTGAAAGTTTAAAAAACATATAAAGATATATTGTTACGTACGGCCTTCAGGGATCTAAAAGCTGATGTACTTTTATAAATAACAATAGTCAAATTAGTATAGTAATCAAATGTATTTTATTAAACCAGACAAAATAAGCAGAACAGTCGTGTTGATTGTGTAGTTGAGTGAATTGTAGCTCGTTCTAGAATTGATAATCTCCGTGTAATTATGTGTGATGGCTGGCGGCTAAGCGAGTCGTGTGTTGTTCACGTCTCTGGATACATCTACCCAGGCTGTGTCGCTGTCCCCTTTATATATGGTGGCGGCGTCCTTTGAAAGCGGGTAGCGCGTGTACAGTCGTCCTTGATATGATTCGGACCTCACGACTAAAGTGGTATTCTAGTCATAAACACTTTTGGGTGTAGTCGCATTCCTGGTTGTTTTTATGAGCAAATACACGATATTACGTAATCCCATTACACCTCCCTACCAAAAAAAAGATTGTTAACCTTTAAGGGTTAAGAATCTTTAACATCGTTAATTAAATAGTTTACAATGGTTGAATTACATTGTTTACATTGATATTCAATTTTGTATACAGTTAACAATTTGATTACAGTATTACATTTGATTACAATAATGTGAACATTTTACAATTTTTAATGTCATCATTATTATTATTATTGTTTTTTATTATTCATATTACAATTTGTATATTGTTGTTAGTAAAATAAAATTAATACATGATTTAATTAAATAAATAGTGTTAATAAGAAGGATTAATAATCTTTTAATAAAATAATATATGTACCTGAAATTATAACATTATAAGCGTTTCGTAAGTTTAAAATTTAAGTATTTTCCCCTTTTATATAATAATAATTATCATCTTCCACCTATGTACTAATCTATGTGAATAATCGTTAGATTTGCCATAAACATATGCAACTATAGATCTACTTAAGGACTAAGGTAATTTATTATGTAAGTTGGATCTCTAGTGTTTTCTATTATTTTTACTAATTGCTTGCACTCTCCATTACAATAATCATCCATGAAAAGTTCAAGGCTTCTAGTTATTTTATTTAAGGTTCTATGATCGTAATGGTTATTTATTTTTTGTTTGCCTTTAATATATGCCAATTAAAGCACACGGATTGCAATTTATTTTCTTTAACATTATAAATATGTACTTCCGTTTTTAAAATGGTTTTTAGCTCCTCAATGAATCTAAAATACATAATAAATGTTAATTTATTTATTTGTTTTCATTGTTTAATATATTGTGTGTTAGATTTATTTATTAACTATAATAATTTATTTAATTTGCCTTAAAATTCCTTTTATATTTTTTTGCTAATTTATATCATTTAATGGGCTTTATTTTTGTTACTATATAATTGAATAGGCATTTTGTTAAAATTACGTCAGCAATCGGGTCATGACAATGTGTAATATTATGATTAATACCGCATGCTAGTTCATGAGTTTCCGACAATCCTAACATTCTACCATTTTTATTTAATTTACCTAAATAGCCCGAATATAATACTTCCTTAGTTTTTAGGTTTGTTAATTCTAATATAAAATCATCATTATTCCTAATACTAATTGAAGATATGTTTAAAAATGCTAAAATTCTTGTCAACCTTAATCGCTTAATTATTGTGATATCTGATGATCCGTTCCAAAATACTACTATCGGCTCCCTATTGTTTATGTGCAAATATCTTTGCAAGTATACCGTAGACAAGGTTGATTCCCCTGGTGACTTACACTTTTGTATAATTGTTCCAGAAATGGTTCAATCACTCTTGCCTTTTTCCCGCGGAATACTCGTTTGATATTCTGCACTATATTCTTTAGGTCGCATCGGCGGAATCTTCT